ACGGCCTACATATGTTGGTCAGGAGGATCCTCTCCTTGGGCTCCGGAGAGGATCCAAATCCGGAAAATACTTCACTAAGAATTTCTATAATCCTGTCACAGTCTAACATCTGTGTATAAATTTTTCGTTTAATATTATTATTAAACAGTGATTCGTTGAAACGAGCAACGATTCCTTTCTGAGAAGTAACCAAGCATTTTTCATTATACATAGTAGAATGGGATGAGATGATAAATTTAGCTGTATTTCTATAGGTTGGTGGGTCCTTGTCGAAATCTAACAGCTACTGAGAAGGATTTGCGAAATGAGGGTCAGAAACATCCAAACTTGCTCTAAAAAGGGAGAGGAGAATGGCGAGACAACACTTTGTTTCCGGTGTAAGTCTTTGTATTTAACTGTTTTGCCACTGAGGACTGGTCCTCCCTCGTCCTCTCATGTTTTCTCTCTCACGTACACCGTACACGGTAAAAATGCAAAACCCTAGCTGGCTAGGGTTTATTACTGCCCCGTATTATCAAGAGAATCTTCAAGTTTTATAAACCAAAGGCACTTATTTGCTCCTACCTTTCGCTTTTACTATATGCACCACTACAACAACGTTGGGGAAGGTGTTTGTACTGTTTCAGATGTCTAGTATATCTATAATCTATGTATGTTGTGTGTGATGTCAGATGGCACTCGTGGGAGTTGAAGGCCTTTTGATCGAGAAGATAAGATTTCAAACCAAGCAAAACACCGGATACACGTATGGCATGATTATTTATTTATTTTAGAAATGAGATTGGGAAGTCATGAATTAAAGATAATTTGGATTACATGCTGTAACATGAACTTAACTCATCATTTGTCGACTTCATATACAAAATAAGTAAGGAAAGTTATAAATCAGAGTAACCCTAATGTTAAATTTTAAATAACTAACTCGTTTAAGAATACAATTCTGGAATTTTAGTATTTATTAGACTGTGCAGGTATTTACATTAGAACAATATCGGCGTGTGAAGGGACAATGAGTCACAATGTATGACTCCACTAGCAAGCTTCAATTAAACGCAAAAATATTTGAGGGGCACATCATAAATTCTCCACGGATGCTTTCCTTTTTTACCCTCTCTCAAGTTTTTTAAGGCGTTCTTTGGAATGAACTTGAGGACGAGGCAAAATGTAACCTAATGCAACCTCGCTTATTTGTAATGTACAACTCTAGAATCTTGGTATAAACATGTTAGTACAAGGCTCACTCAAGAATGAGATGACAGTGGTTTATCAAGTTCATTATGTCCTTGGACGCAATACATTGGAATCCTAAAGCATCACTGTTCCACCATGCATGAAGGAAAGCTATTGTGCGTTTACTAACATTTGCGTATTAAAATTAGATCAATGTGCAAATTTAGTTTCTGAATTATTACCTAAGTGAAAGTTAGGTCCTTAAATATTTTATTTTTAATTTTAAAAATCAGTTCTTAAACTAATTAAAATCTAACAATTACATCCCTAGTATTAGATTTGAAATTATTCTATACAATTTTCCGTTAAATTAAGTCGCATAATTTGCAGTTAAAAATGCAGAAACTTATTTTGATTTTTTACTTCTCATGTACGAAGTTAAAAATGATGTGGCAATAACTCTCACATTATAATTTGTAATCTATACGTGAAAATTCATGACTTAAATTGATTAGGGGAAAAAGGTTAATCCAATTCTCTTTCTCTCTTATTTTCTTTCGTATTCCTCACTTTCTTGGTCCACAATTTTCTCTTTTCAAATAAGTAAATTTGTTACAACTTTCTCCTTGTGCAATATATTCCTTTGTATTATTAAAATAAAAAAATTAAAAATAAAAAAAAATAAAAAACTAAGAACACCTCTCATTTTCTATTGAGCAACGTGAAGCTTGGATTAAAGTTTCAAACCATTTTCTCGACGATTGTGATTCTCAAATCTTAAACCTCACGGGCTCATATCTTGATCATCTAATATGTCAAAGTTGTCTACTTCCAGTTGACACTGAGATATCTTCATATCCTAATCTCTGTAAAACGATCCCATTGTCTAACACAAGTTGCGTAGGGAGACAGAACACAACCGTGGTCCGTGGTCTTTGTATATAATATATACATCTGTGTATACTGCCTAAAATAATTAAATGCAAATGATTGATGATTCAACGTCGGAGAGAGAAGGGCCCATATCATGATATTTTGTCATAAGATTAACCATGAAGACCAAGATTGGATTCATATGGTTCACCCATCAAACAGTTTTGAAACATTTGATGCATGACATCGGAGGAGGTCCTGGGGAAGAAAAATTATTGTGTCCAGTCACCTTACCACAACAAAAGATCACGTGAATCACACGTGAAGGGTGGAGAAAAATTTTTGCAGTCATTGCTCGATCACGTGATAAGAGATAAAAGTTTAATTGCATACAACTAGTTGCATATTTGAGTCCAATTTTGTTTTATCAAAATGATGATTATATAAGATGTTTGTGTATAAGAATTGTTTTTGGAGTAAGGTTTTCCCACATGAACGTGTGAGAAGCCAATTAGAACGGTCTTAATTTCTTTATCACTAATTGTATAAACAATAGCTTTTTTCTCTTGTCACGTGTCAAATGATGAGACAAACTCATATTGTAAAGTTACATAACGAAAGAAATAAATATATGATTGTTTAAAATCTCACATTGTGTGTTATTTTATTGGTTGTATACAACCAGTCTCTCATGACATGTCATACAATGAATAGATTCACGTGACTTATCGATAGCGCACATTATGAATCACGTGACTGTATATGATCAAATGCACACAGTGTGAATGATAGTTGATTAGTCGTATACAACAAGAACTTCTTTGTAAGAAGGTTTTATTTTTTTACAAAATAAAAAGTAATTTACGCAAACCGCTTTAGATTAAATCAATTTCAACCAATACAAATAACAAATAAATGTATGTAAAAGGAGACAAAAAGTATGTCCTTTATCATATGATGATGTGAGCAACCCTAATACATGAGAGGGGTGATGAATATACAACTAAATAATGGGGTGGCAAATTTTGCGGGTGAAAAACAAAATTGTAAAGTTAGGTGTGTGAGTGATGGTAGACCCAAACACACGTGCACGCAGTGGTCCATGAGGCATCATCCACAGTAGAGGAATTTTGTTCGTATGGTTAAGCTTAACATCTCAATCATGTACCAATTATTGTGGATGTGGTCGACTAACTCAACCCATCTTGGCCACTTCTTACACCATTCAAATTCTATATTCTAATTTCTCATTTCTCTAAAGGATAAGATTATACTTACTTAAATGGAGGAATTTTCCCCCGAGAATACAAGCAACATGGTTTATTATTTCACGTTTTATAGTAAGTGTGAACGATGTAGTTCACATATATGTTCTGATTTTAGTATACTATTAAAAGACAAATCTATAACATGTTTATTTAACAGAAATGGAATAAGAAAGCAATGAGAGAACTTAGAAATAGGAAAAGTATGGAAAGAAAATCAGTGCTAGTTGATCTGATTTTGATTCCCTTCGTGTTAGTAAACATAAGGGAAAGTTTGGAACTGAATTGGTTTTCATTCCTCTATTTTAGTAAAATTAGGGAACTAAAGAATAGAAATGATTTTAATTCTCATTCCTTATAAATAAACATGTCTGCCTATTACAATTTGAGTTGAATAATAAGCCAGTAGCCACTCATATTCTTATTCTTTCTACTTTTTTCAGAGGATTACCAGGTCAAAGGAAACCCTAAAGCCATCGAGAAGCAAAAGGTGACAACTACCAAACAAACGCCAGCGTGTGAGGTTTTGTACATTAGGGCGCAAATTAAACGGTGAGCTGGCAGACCCTACCAAATGGTCCGGTTTGGTTCGATTTTTCGAGCCAAACCAAACCCGCTAAAGCAGGTTCAATCTCAGAAGTTTCAAGGATCGTTAGCACAACAACAGTCAAATAAAGTCAACCAATTCTATTGTGCCGACGAGCTTCCATTTCTTACCTTAGGTTGGAGAAATTTTTAGTTGTTACGGGAATACAAGTGATATACCACGTGTTTTAATAGGAGTGGTGGGAATTTTTTATTTTAAAGTTATTAACTTTTTAACACACATATCCCACCATTTGTATAGTGACACGTGATGTACCATCCCGTGTACTCGTCACATTGAAAAATCTCTCCCTCAAGTTGTCACAAAAAGGTCCCTTGTGTGGAACATGTAATGTTTTTTCTTTAAAGAAAATTAATGAAGATGGTACGTTCACGCCAAAAGTAGAGTGAGTGATAAATTGTTAAATTATTTCTTTGGGCACTATTTGCACATACAACTAATAAGTTGAAGGCCGAAGAAAATTTTCTTTACTACTAATTATATACAAACAATTACGCTTAAGATTTTCTGCTAAAATACAGACCAACCATTTATTTCGAAGAGTTTAATACCCTAACGTATCCAAAATAGGGCTGGACTATAGTTCTATCTCACACACAAAAAGGATACATCTTTGTGAGGTGCAACCAGTTGCATCACATTTTACGTATGGAAAGAAATACTAATACGGGGATTTACAACCAGTTATATATTAGAATCTGTACTGAAAGTTAGTTGTGCATTTAAACAAAAAATAAAAATAAAAAAATCATCCTCGCATAACATATATTAACAAATCAAAACAAGACATGAAAATCGAAACTCCAATCAGCAAACTAGCAAAGCTCACATGTAATGTGGCTCCTTTAAACCAACATGCCAAATGGTCCCTGCTACTTGCTGCCAGCCTTAACCTCAAAACAACACGAAGGAGAGGGATTGAGACCCTCGGTACGAAACACTTGTAAAGCGGATTAATGACAAGCACAGCCGCGCTCAAGGTCACTACACTACCAAATGACGACGACGACTCCAAACAACCGAACTTGACAGCAAATGAAATTGATGAACAAAATAATTCAGTAGATTCAAGTGCACATTGCGAATCCATGAAAAAAAACCAATCAAATGATTCCCTTTTTGGTTCATTTATAAATTACAATTACAGCAACCCTTTTGACCATTTGAGAACAATGGCATGGAAACCAGGGAATTTACAAAGAGGGAAAGGAGAGACATCAGTAGAAAAGAATGAAAAGACATCTTTCGTAAGGCAAGGAAAAATAAAAATTCATCATCAATTTTCCCCTACTGTGTAAGGAATCTGTCTGAGGTCTCATCAAGTTCACCTATATAATAATATTACACCGAAGAGTGTTTTGATTCAAAGTTAGCTCTGTAAAATAGAAGGGTATGGATCCAGAGAGAAAGTACCTCCGATGCATATTTATGCTTGCCCTTCCAGCTTTAGCACGGCTGTTTACGTGGCTCTGAAGTCAAAAAAAGGGATCTTAAGGAAAGCATGCAGCTCTATCTGGGATCTTCCGACTTGAAACATAAGAACATGAGATAGATTCAGATAGGGTTTCTAAGTTGAGTGCCAAAACGGATCTTGTTCTTGTAAATCCCTGTGAGATATTGAAGGGAAATAGCATCAATAGATGCACCACCTTCCCATTCATCAACAACCTCAAAGTAATTTTGTTAGTGCTCTCGAATGAAAATAATGCTGAGGAAGGTTGGCTAATCACTATCGCTATCATGTCTTCCTGAAAGAAACAAACCGAAATAAATTAGAGGATGTGCCATAAATTTGAAAAACAACAAAAATAAATGAATAAAATATAATAAAAATTGAAAGAGACGGGGGAAAGTTTGTCGTACTTCCTGATGGTCTTTTCCCCTCCATAGCCTCTTTTTTCCCTTGGCAACTCGAGCAGAGGAAGGGGCCATCCCAAGGTCGCAATTTTCCTGGGTTCGATGATCCAGTGTGTATCGAAATACCCTCTCCTGGTTTAATTTCTACTTGACAAACTGCACACATAAACAATTTGAACATGTTGCAGAGCGGGTATTTTGTATCTAACCTGCATTCCACACAATAATCCTATCAGAAGCCAGTATATCGACATAAACCCCCACCAGACAAAGTCATACTGAAATGAAACAACTCCACGATAGAAAGTTCAAGTGTTAACAAAACTTCCAACCAAAAATACAACACTTCACATGACGCCTGACGCGAAGATCAAAATAAAGTTTAGTCTACACTCTTATGAAGATGTTTCTTAAGCACAAACCTTTCGGAAAGCGAAGCAGAACCTCCTCAAATAACTCCTCCACCTCGTCTGGCTCAATATATTCTTTTTCAACACTAGAAGATGATTCAGAGGATTTTTTCTTAAACATGGATTTAAACAACACTCCTTTTCCCTGCCTCTTTGGTTGGGGTAATGAAGCTTGTCGCTTCTCTTGTGGTAAAATATCGATCACAATGCAGGTTGTATCATCCCGAAGTCCCTTATGCCCTACAGCATCCTGGAAATAGAACAAAAAGTTTAAAACATAGTATTGAAGTAAGAAAGCAAAATTCCTCCCAGCCAGCATAATAGTTCTGGCAAAGCATCTAAAGCATGGGTCAAGGCGCCAAAGCTATGGAATATATAAAAAATCTACCATTATACAGAAAACTGAGACATATAGCTGCTATCATACCTTTACAATTTGTGCAGCTGCAGCGTCCGGTGGCATCCCACGGCAACAATCAAGAGCTTCTTCTGCAGACAAAGCATCCCAGACACCATCACTTGATACGATAAGTCTGCCACCTGCGGTTGACAACTACTGGGGAAAAAGTACAACATTTTGTGTAAGACAATCATATCAAATGAAGCCCGAAAGAATACTGTAGTTTCAACAATGAAAAGTAACAGGTGATTATTTCAACCAATCACAATAATATAAGGGCAATTATTTCAAAGGTTCAAAGTAATACAATAGTTGCTTCTATGAATGTCTGCTGAATCTTTTGGCATCACAATACAAGAGGGAATCATGCACATGGAAATCAAAACAAGGGCACTAAAATATAACAAGACTAGAAACAAACCTTGATTTGCCTTACATAAGGAACAGGAACAATGAACTCCCCCACGTCCATATCACCAATGGATCGTGACAGACACAAGCCACCAGGCCAACACCTCAAAGGACCGATCTACAAGGAAAAAAAAATATCTAAATTAGTTTGTCTGTGCATTTTCAAGATTAATCTTATCAACATCAGCGTCCTACATATATTCAACCTATCCTTAGGCACACTTATCTCATCCACCAGGAATTAATATGCCTTTCTTAAGATCTTAATTTGTGTTTGTACAGAAAACTTCATGAACAATACGCTTAAGTAAGGCATGAAGAAAAGTTACCTCTGCCCCCCCACCAGTATTAAGCCGACCAACCTCGCCCCCACTTGAGGTGATACGCTGTCTCCTATTAAAATTTAGTTGAAGGGTTAATAAAGGTTACAGATAGTTAAGTGAGTCATAGAAGTATATTATACAGAGAACTTACTCCTCTTCATTGATTTCAAGCCTATGATCTGCTGATAAATAGTAAACTCCACCTTCAGCAGGTTCAACTATGCAACGAGAATCGCCGACAGATGCAACAGATATGACCCATCCTTCAATAATCACAAACGTGACAGTTGTTCCTGACGTTTGAGCTGAAAGATGGCAATAAAATGCATGAAATCATGCACACAACAAAACAAGAAATTAACTATTATACTAAAACTCATAAAAATTACAAAATCAAATGTACAACTGGTAACCCTCAAATACAACAATTAACTTATTCGCTGATATCCTTAAGCATGCATGCTCTCCAAAATGGACGAAAACATTTTGATAACACATAAACAAGAAGAAAAATATATACACACATTTTTTAAGGATCTCATGTACATTGCATGTGCATGTTTTGGGAGTTTAAGTTAGGGTAAGTTAAGCTAAGAAAGTGAAAAATATACATGGGGATTGAGTGGCTCTATAACTGGAAAAAAGTAGCAATAGGCATACAGTTAACTTATAATCTTATATAAACCAAAGTATGATTAACATGCAGTATAAGTTGGATATATGAGCAATTTCATAAACGGTGTGGATTTGAGATGCTTTCTCTAACATGGGATAATATTATGCATCTCCCCTTATGACCAAGGCACCGCCGAACCAGCTACTTATTAACTCTATTTTCCATAGCATGCACAGGTTACAAAGGTAATCCAGTTTCAAACTATACAAAAATACCCACATATCAATATTTATGATAGGAATTTTACTGAAGGAAATACCATTCAGTGTTGGTCGATATTAAGGTAGAGCAAGAGCTAAAATTAAAAACAGATTAAAATCATCCATACCTCTCTCTTGGAATTCTTTGTCTGTTTTGACAAAGCCTGCTACAAAAGCCCTTGGCAATGCTGCTACCCATTCATCTCTGTTTAGATCTGAAGGGATAGCAGCCAAAACATTAGTTAGAAGATTCTCCTTGGAGTAAATAGCGGCTGCTGACCCATTATGCCCATCAAATAGCTGCAAGACATAGTCCAGTAAGAATATATCCAGGCTTCAATAATGGGTTTTCCAGTCTTGATAAAATTTGAAAAACAAATAAAACCGAGTTCCCTAGATTAGGTAGGAGCAAAAAGGACCGACAATGTTTATAATCTACATAATCCTTAAAATGGCTTAAAAGAACTTGGTTGTTTATCAAACATGGGCACAAGTTTGAAATTCCCAGCACAACCACCACATCGCACATGGCTGGTCAAACCATCACAGCAATCAACTACATACTCAGATACATCTAGTTTATGTAAATATTGTGCATCGTAAACACCAAAAGATCACATATCAAAACACAAAGAAGGAAATCATGAACAACCACACACCTCAACTAGGTGATCAACATTTTTAAGCATACCATTTGGTCAAAAAGTTTACCAGTTTGATGAACATCAAAGTTAGCTATTTCTACATTTTTGTCAATACAAATGGTAGACAATCGGAAAACAAAAGGAAACAAACAATGAAAGAATAATACCCCGAAAACTGAATACGTAGAAACTCCATCTCCCACAATTCTTTGACATTCCGTCTTTACCAACGTGAAATCCTCTCCTTTCTTGCTCTGACTCGCCTGACCGTGTATAATCTCCGGTCTCTCAATCTTCTCATTGGCCAATTCACGCTTGAGCAGCACCGAAAGCGGAACAGTTTGATGATTTTCGCTCTTAGTGGACATTGTTCCCCAAATTCAAACACCTCCACACACAGCTTCTCTCTCTCTCTCCCCTCCTCCTACCTCTATTCCTCCATCGCCGATTCTCAATCCAAATCCTGCAAAACAAAACAAAAACCAGCACATACGCGCGTCAATCAAACGCACTGTTTCGAGCATTCTCAAATCTAATCACAAATCTAAATCCTTTCCAAAAAAAATCGTCAATATCAGCAGCTAAAACGGCAACAAATCACCGAGATCTTCAAACGAAAGGGCACTCACAAAAACGAATCGGACGATTTTCACCGTCTCAAAAGCTGTAAATTTTATGAACAAATGCAAAGAAACCGCAATGCGGATATGAACACGAATCCGAGAAAATGAGGAGAAAAATTACAGGAAGAGAAGGACCGATCAGCAAACAGCAATGACGATTACGCGCGAAGGAGACGAGAGCGAGGCGTGGCGGAAGCGACGACGGTGGCGGGTTGGTGTGATCGAGAAACGCGGATCCCGGCGCACTGCGGAAATTCCATTCTCTTTCGAGAGAGCGAATAATGAGATGGAAAAAGCACAAATGAAATGAACATGTTCTTCTCCTTTCCTTTCTTCTTTTAACAAAAACAAAATTAAATGAAATAAAAATAAGATTAGGGAGAAAATATTAATTAATAAATATTTACTGGCGCTGACGTGGCAGGAAATGGCGCTGTTTCTTAAATTCGGCGCTCCGAGCCGCGTCTCTGACGCGCCGTTTGACTTGTGTGCCGCGCTAGAGTCAAGAGCGAAAAGGATTTGCTTCGCGACTTCTTCGTGGATCTATCTGTCTCTCGCTCTATAGTTCTGTGTGGACCCACGGGGAGGGTGGGCTCCGGTGGGGCCCTTGAGTGTGAGGAATCTGAAGTCGACCAATTAAGACAAACTATGTGATTTGTTTTTTATTTTATTTTATTTTTTTAGCAAAGAAGACTCAAAAACTCGACAAGGACTCGGTCAAGAAAAGTAAACCCTCACAAAACACTAATCACAATATCAAATTCTTACACAATGACCGTTTTAGCCGGTTACTATAATTAATGTTTTTTCATTTACATGTTACTAGTTTTGGATTTAAGTGGTATTTGATTCATTGAAGAAGTCATCTAAAAATGAAATCATCAATCATTATCTTGTCTTATGCCGATACTTGGTTTAGGAAGTAATGTGGTTCATTTTCCAGTGTATTATACTTGCATGAGATTCATTAAATTTCCAATAATGGTAAAGTAGATAAGATATGCGTAAATGCTTACGTAAGTAGCTGAAAGCATTTCTTAACTAGACGAAAGACCATTAAACTATTCTTTCACGATGAGTTGATAATCATGTAACAAGTCACATCTTAAAAATGTGTTTACCAACCACATAGATAATGCAAGGTGTTGTAAACCTAATATCTAAGTTTAAATTTATGTCTTCATATCACTCAAAGAAAAAAAAAACTGTAAGTAGAATTATCACAAACTTCTTCTCAAGCCTCCAATCAAACCAGACGTCATCCTAAAATAATACAAATTTCGAGTTAACGTGTCAAGCAAGTGCTGGAGGCTAGATGCAAAATCTAGCCACTCAAAACGATTATATACTTATTGATTTTTTTTTTTTTTGTTATAATGGGTCCCGCCCTCTCAGGACTAGCACTGAGGCTAGTTTGGCCTCACAGGACGGCTAGGTGTCAATTTGACTAGGCAAATTTTGTCTTCTTTTTTTTTTTTTCACTTTTAAGCATCCACAAAGTTGAGACATAATGATAAACATTTTTTTGTTTCAGATTAATGTTAATGATTATCATAACACAACGTTGATGTCACGTAGTTCAAAGATTGTGATCAAGTGTGGGACCCATGGGGCCTTAGGGGACCCCACAGGAACATTTATTTTTCGCTTGGAAAAAACCTAACCGCTTGTCCCGCCCTCCACCGGAGGGTCCGGAATTCTCGGCGCCAGTTAACAACCAACTCCGCGTAAAGGCAAGTCAATTAATCAGGCACGCCAATACATAATATTATTTTTTACATTAATAATGAATAATGATCGGCTCAAAAGCTTGAGGAGCTTGGGATTCCAGTGGCTCATTCGGCTTCGTTCAGTGAATCCGGCTGTACACGATCACAGCTCCATCATTCACACATGTTACGCGGACGCAGAGGCATGTTCGATTTATTTGCTTTTTTTTTTTTTTGCAAGCTGGAAATGCCCAAAGCTTTTCGGCCTAGCAAATTAAATTAAATTAAATATGGTCTTTTGCTTGCTTGCCCATGTTGAAGAAATTGCAAAACAATTAAATGAAAATAACTTGGTTTTATGCCAAATAGTCTCGTTTTGAAGGAAAAACTCTGAATCCAAATCGTTATTGCATTTATCTACCGTTAAATTTTAGATGAGCGATTTTTCTTGTAATTTGATTGTATAATGTTTATTACTGATTCAATCAATCAAGAAGAATGATTTTATTTCCGTACGTATACTCTCGTGAGTACATAGTAACTAGAAGAAGAAAAAGACGTGTGAAAATCCTTCTACTTTAAAGTTCTCTAAAGTAATTGATTGCCATTTGCCATGGAAAAGTTTTGTTGGGGTTGTGGTGTGATTGGCAATGAAGTCAACAGCTTCAATTGATTGCCAATTGCCATGGAAAAGTTTTCATAGGCTCTGAACCCCCACGTGCCCATAACATGCAATATAGCTGTCTTTCTTTATCAAGTGTGTATGTATATGGAGAAAGAAGGGAATTAAAGATAAGAAAATGCTCCTGTCCATTCATATTTGGGTCATCATGATCATGGGGTTCATATGTATCTCTCGATGAACAGCAGATATGATTGACTCATCTGCAGAAACTACAACTCTCTCTGCTACACAAAAACAACAAACGGAGCTCATTGCAAATTTTACATATAAAACTCTCTACATTCCAATCCCCTAACTCTTTTACCTGCAAAAAGTAAAAGGGTAGAGTGAGAAAATGAAAAGCGAAGAGAATTTGTTTTGTAATGATTGTATATTCGTTTTTGTTTAACTAATAGGACTAGAAATTGCGAGTACAAATAGAGAATCTATCTTGTAACCGGTTGTATATCTATTTTTACCAATCTCGCATTACTAAATAAGAGAGATAAACAATACATATACAACCAACGATAGTTACAAATCTCTCGAATATAAGAGGATTAAGATGAGTAAAATCTCTACAAGGAAAGCCATTGGAAGACAAAAATAGGATACATATATGGATGTTTGAAAGAGACAATTTAAACCATAATAAATTGAATAACTTGCGTATATTCGTTTTGCAACTGATTGTATATTCGTTTTTGTTTAACTAATGGGACTAGAAATCGTGAGTACAAATAGAGAATCTATCTTGTAACCGGTTGTATATCTATTTTTACCAATCTCTCATTACTAAATAAGAGAGATAAACAATACATATATGCAACCATAGATAGTTACAAATTTCTCGAAGATAAAGAGGATTAAGATGAGTAAAATCTCTGCAAGGAAAGCCATTGGAAGACAAAAATAGGATACATATATGAATGTTTGAAAGAGACAATTTAAACCATAATAAATTGAATAACTTGCGTGAAGGTCACATGGTTTCTATATAAACACCGACAGTTGCATCACATTTGTGGTCCTTTCGCATATGCAACTTGTTTCATTTATATGTACTAACTGCCCCCTCCATCTGGTGTTCCTATAAAGACATCACAAATGAACTAAGGAATATGTAGATTTTATAACACGTGTATCTATTTGTTAAGCTAATATTCTTACACTACATCAGTTCACGTCATTCAAATTAACGATTTTACTGATCAACTTGACAAAAGGAATAGAGTCGCACATTTGCAAGTATACATCATGTATACCATTAGCAGATGAAATATCAACTATATTGTCTAATCATGCTATAACTCGTAGATTAGTATATTATAACACGTGAATAAGTAAATTTGACGGCAACAAGAATGATCAGAATTAAATTACCTAAGTTGATCCTTCTGAGCTTGCCTGTCCGGGTCTTTCCACCCGTATAATGTACACCTGAGAAGATTATACAAGTGCATTAGACATTAAACAAAACTGGTCTGAAAACAAAGAAGATTACTTGACTTATCGGAAGTTCAAGTGCAAAATACGGAAGGTTTTTATGCAGCTTTGTCAATTACCTTGAACGTCGTAGGCCGGATCAATTGAAAAACCAATGCATCACCATCCACCAGATCATGAGCAACTGCAAATCCTTTCCATCCGCCGCTGAGTCCTGTTTTTCGGGCCAAGTATATGGTCGGGTACTCGTCGCCATCTTCATCGATCAGTGTCATAACTTCATCACCCTTTGGGAGGTGGTTCTTGCAGAAGCTGACTTGAAGACCCTGTTGCCAATTACACAAGATACGATTGCATCCACAATATGAAGCAGCACTTCGGACATATACTGAGCAAATACAACTTTCTTCATCGACAGCACATTGCTACATTGTCCAGCGACTGCTCCAATATTTAAGATTTCGGAGAGGGATATACGTTTCACTACGGGTCACACCAACTTAATTACAGTGCAACGGGTGTGGGGTTTTATACAAAAAAACTCGGTGCGACTGGTAGTGAAACCATTCATTCTATATAGTATTTTACTTTTTCAGGTTTTCGATATGAGACTTTACATTCTTCTAACATATAAAACACAAATAAACTGAAAATGTTGTTCAAAACAGTTGGTTTCTTTCTTAACAAACAATTCCATACCAGACAAACAGCATACAGTGAAAGGATGAGAATAATGTTTACCAGCCAGAATCCACCGGTGACATGTGATTGGAGCATTGTTTTCACAAGTGTCGGGTGATCGGATCCCAAACTGGCCTCTAATTCGTCGGCTTTCACCATCGCGGCGGCTCTGGCTTCATCGGAAGCATACACCCGGTTCGCCACATCCCTATGCCGATTAGTAGCGTAGCTCCTTCTCGGAATCATTACTCGCTCCGCCACAACCTGTCACAAACCATGACATAAAAAATTGAAACTTACATACAATGCCAGAGGCCCAGAAGAACCCTACTCAAAAATACACATTCAAAAGCCAAAGACTGAAGCTTTGAGCAAGTAGATGGAAAATTTAATGACCCACTTCTTTGTAATCGGGTGCAGGTCGATTTGCAACCCGGGTGGACCTCCTCACCTCCACCATCTGCACCTCATACGTGCGAGGCTTCCCAGCGCGCTTCATCTGAAAATACAGGAAGAATAGGCAGAATGTGAAGTGTGTTTACAGAGAAATATATATATATATGTGTGTGTGTGTGTGTGTGTGGAGAGAGAGAGATAAAGAGAGAGAGAGAGAGAGAGAGAGAGAGAGAGAGAGAGTTGTAGGGATTACAGGGGAGGGTTTGGGAGAATTTGGGGTTTTGTTAAGAGCTTGAGCAAGCATAGGCAGATTGAGAGCTTCCATTCTCTTTTTGTTTTCCTCCAATCGCTGCTGGCGAGACTCCTCGTACGACAATTTAGACTTTGCCATCACCATTTTCCGAGAACCAAACAGAAATTTTTCTCGGACTTTCTCTGTCTCTCTCTGGTTTTTTTGGTTTTTGGGTGGAAGGATGAAGCGAAATGGTGGCAACAGTGTGAATATTTAAAAGAGTCGTTGCTAGTCGACCGTTGGGTTCGCACTGCCTTGAGAAATGGTCTGCACCCAGCAGTAAATATTTATTCTTTTTTTTCTTTTTTTCGAGTTCGTAAATATTTTGTTTTTACCTCCATTAAAATTAATATTAAAGTGGTGAATTCAAACTTTCAAATTTACCATCGGTCTAGTGACTGTAAATCTGATGAAATGCAGCAGCATTTTTGTCACATGTTGGGTCACATACGATTAGATTGAGATACTAACACAATGATATTTAAATCTAACTAAGTTTATCCCGATGCAACAATCAAACAACTGGAGGTTTTAGTTTAGTCATCGCTTGTCGCATGTCCATGTTAAAAAAAATCTTGAGTGAAATATAGAAGCAGAGAAACGTGAAAGATAAGAGTAACTCGGATGTTCATTCATATTTGTTCGTTTCATGAGTTCTTCATACAGGTCTTAAAGGGACACCGGAGAACATTCAAAAATATGATTGCAGACGATTGCTTCATCGCTAACCCTACAAGGCTCCCTTGGTAGTTTCTATTACACACAAAAAAACATGTAATTTTCTCGAAACAAATAAAGCTCGTCGCTGAACAGAGTCTGTCCAAAATCCTTTTTATCTGCAATAATAAGTAAAAGAGCTGCGTGAGGGAGAAGACAGGAGAATTAAGACGAACAAAATCGCTTGAACGCTAATGAGGTAAAAACTGCCAACAGCATTATTCAGAAAGCAACCAAGTCCAAGAGGCAAACAAGGAAGAACGCCATTCGTTCAGTTACGGGAAAACTGAAGGCAACTTCGGGTACATGCATCCTAGTATGCCATCCAAGCAACTTGAGGCATTAGAATTTAGAAGATACATCGTTTCTACGTATAACACAAACAGATGCATCATGCAAGCTTATGTAACTTCAATAATGTGATAAATTTTACGAGTCTTGAACTTTCGAGAAGTCTTTATTCTAACTAAATAAATGCAAACAACTGCCTTGCGTAGTGTTTGCATATGAAGAATCAACTCTGAAACTAGCTTAAAGTTCATTAAATCACAGCTGTGTAGGTTTTCTCGCAGCAGAACAAACATTGGGCTTGATATGTTGAAGAACTTGGGAAACCATAAGCAAATGAGTAAATGTCTGACTTGGTCAAGAGGCTACATATGAAATGTGCATTTACAAATCGTAGAAAACATCACTAGCAGTCTTAGATGACGAGGAAGCGGTAGAAATCAGATGACATATTGTTCAACCATTTGTCAATGCATAGCTGAAAGGGCAAGAGAAAAATACTTAAAACTTTACCTCAGCAACAATGACCACAAAAAACCCAACATTGACAATAGTTAAAGCTTGTAGCCTTATTCAGCTCTTTCCACCCTTATAATGTACACCTGAAATGACAATACGAGTACATGAAACAAAAAACACACACTGAAACCAGGATGATAGGGTGGTCTCATACAGCAAATGGACATATGTAGGGAACTTATCTAGTTTAATTAATGGTATCTATTAAAGGTAATATACTTATTCTGGAGCTTAACAAAGAATCAGCCTCATTTAACCAAACCAAGTGTAAAATACTAAAACTTTTATGCAGCTTGTGAACTAAACTGTTGTAATTTCAGTTCAACTTTGTCAAGAAACCTGTAACCAAACCTTGAGTGTTTTAGGCCGAATTCGTTGAAAGACCAATGCATCCCCATCCACCAAACCATGATCAATTGCGAACCCTCTCCATCCACCACTGAGTCCTCTTTTCTCAGCCAAGTATATAACCTCGCACTCATCCTCATCCTCATCTATCAAAGTCACAATATCATCACGTTTCGGGAGGTTCTTGCTGCAGAAATATTTTGGAAGACCCTGTTGCAGTTTGCAGACATTAAACAGAATGAGTGCAAGTACGCCTATACTTACACATTATGAAGTAGGATACTGAAGATAATTGATAACACACATAGGCCTCGTTTAGTGTCTAGGATTAGACTGAAATGGATAACCCACTATATTCAAGGTATACTGAAAGAAGGAATGCAAAATTGTGTCCAACTTGCAGGTGGAAGATAGATTACTCATTAAGGAAACTTATCCGCGGATACCCTAAAATGGTAGGATTAGAAGGGATAAGTTCTTTTCATGTCTAATTCCCTCAAAATAAAAAATCGACTGCCTTGCCTTCAATATACCTTGAATATAGTGGGTTATCCATTTCAATCCAATCCTAGAGCCAAATTTCACATCAAACAGAACGTCAATCGAACAATGTCTCAGTTCTTGAATCAGTTGAGATAATGTACAAAGTTCGCAAGCTTTTTAACAACCAACCAACAGTATATAGAATACAGAAGAAACATACAATGAAAATGTGAAATATATATCATATGAAGCAGACTAATTTACCAGCCAGAATCCACCGGTGACATGGGATTGCAGCATCGGTTTCACCATGGTCGGGTAACTGGATCCCAAACCGGACTCTAATGCCTCAGCTCTCGCAGTGGCGTCATCTCTGGCCTCATCCGAAGCATAAACCCGGTTCGACAAATCCCTATGTCTATTAGTAGAATACCTTCTGGGCCTCATCTCCCGATCCACCACAACCTTCTACAAACCATAAAATCATTAAAGATTTCAACTTTCCAATTCGAAAACAAAAAGAAAGAAGCATATGATCAATCAGAGGAAAAATCAAAATACCCACCACTTCTTTGTAGACTGGGGTCGGAAGATTTGCCACCCGGGAGGACCTCCTCACCTCCACCAACTGCTTCTCCACCGTGCGGGCCTTCGCGCGCTTCATCTGCGAATAAAAGAGAAATTAAGAATGAGAGCCTTTTTTTTTTTGTGTGAGAGAAGGAGGGGTCGAGGGTTTTAGGGATTACAGGGGAGGGTTTTGGAGAATTTGAGTTTTTTTTAAGAGATTGAGCAAGCATAGGCAGATTCAGAGCTTCCATTCTCTTCTTGTTTTCCTCCATTCGCTGCCGGCGAGACTCCTCGTACGATAACTTAGGCGCCGCCATTTTTTTTCCCGAGAAACAAACAGAAAATTTTCTTGGGCTCTCTCCCTCGTGGGAAATTGTAAATTTGAAAACCCAGTGGTAGTGGACTGCTAAGTTCCCCACTACGTTGAGTAATTGATGCGTCACAGGTAAAGCTGATTGGTCAGCACTCAGCTTTGAATTTAAGCTGAATAGTCTATTCCTTTCTCAACCAATTAGCGTCAAATCGATCCAACGGTTGAGATTCGAATTTTCTAAATTTACCACTTGCAATCCTAGTTAGTAGTTACCCAATGGTTCTTAAGGGCGTGTTTACTTGAGATAAACGGAATAAGGGTAATGGTAATAGAGACCAAGTGGGTAAATTAAATTTTGTATATTAAATAACGTGAAAATTTGTAATTGGATTATGATTTAAGTATTGATAAACATGCTCATATGTATTGGTGACATATCATTTAGTTTGTAAATTTTATCTACAACTTTAGTCTTCCTAGCATTATTATTGGATTATTAATTTAATGTTGATTACCGTACTTATTTTTTGTTAGTGTCACATCATTTAATTATAAATTCAATCTACCTAACATTAGAAATGAAAAAAATTAAATTTATCATTTGATTAATGTTTATCAAGATTTCATTGTTTAAACTCTAAATGAGATACATGATTGTATATTCATTACTATTTTGAAAATATTAAATATTTTTGGTGTTATTTTGTACACATGAATGATTTGATTGATTTTTCACAAAAAGAAACAAAGTAAGACGAAATTGAGTTTCAAGTTCAAAATGACATAAATTGACTTTCGTTGGACAAAGTATGACCAAACTCATATTTTCTTAAGATTTATTTTGGTATAAGAAACTTTAAGACTAACCTATCGTGAGACTTTACCTATATATAGATAATATCGTTTGTTAAATAAATAAATAAAATTTAAAAAAATAAAATAACATTAATATTTTGCCAAACTCATACGATTCATTTCTTTTCTACATTTACAGCTTCCTCTAATATTCATTACAACGATTCTCATCACCCATCTAAAGTTTCTTCAGTGCCAGTACATGTTTTATGCCGGAGAATGAGATCATCGTCGGCTTACCGCCTCCGAATGAACCTTATCCTCCTTATTCCGGAAACAAAGCAAGAAATGAAAAAGTAAAGATAACAAACTTCATCTCTCTTGTCTTGTGCCAAATTATAATCTTGAGCGACGTATGCACTTGATTGGATTAAAGGGGGCATGTCGTCTTCTTGAAGCGATTGAGCTGCCTTTCCCGTTCAAAGAACCTGATGACGACTTTATGTCCCAATCCTCAACAGTCTTTGGAACACAGACGTCGAAAAGGATCTGACCAAGAACCCCATGGGCATTCATGCTTGGAGTTGGCGGGTTAGGCAGGTGAATTATCCCTTCCTTGCGCTCGTCCTGCATGGACCCAACATCTCTACCTCCCTCGTACTCCATTGAGCCGGGCATGAAGAAGTGATCACTTGAGGCTAGAGTGACTCCTCGAAACCCATTTGAGCCTCCTGCAGCTTTTCTAAGGCTATTCATTGGTTCATTGTCAACGATCTCATCTTGTGTTGCCTGCATGCCAATTGTTTCCCCTTCCAGCCGTCTAATTCTTTGGGAATAAACTCTGGTTGCTTTACCAAGGAGTTCGGTTATGGCAGCCTTGTAGTCAACTGGATAATGCTTGTAATGACCTGTGAGTGAAACAATGAATCAAGTTGTAGGATTTTAGTATATTCACATATGCTATCGATAAGAGAGAAGAAAGTAAATAAATAAGAATTTGGAAAGAAAGGAAACAAATAAGAACTGGCTGACGTGGAGCACATGTGGTCATTGGACTTCACATGCAGGCTAACCTGCTCTTATACCATGAAGAAAGTTGAGGTTCTACTATAAAATCAATGGCAATATGGTGAAACCCCAACTTCTTCCTATTATTAGAGCAGTTGTCCGACATATGATGCCCAACAGCCACACATGCTCCACCATCACACGTGAGGGGGTGTGTTGAGAATAAATCTCATATTGATGGAAGGAGGAACCTTGCATCGGCTTATAAGTTGGGCTACTCCCCATATTGTCAATTAGTTTTATGGGAGAACCTCAACTTTCTCAATAAATAGCCTTTGAGTTTAAGTTTCGAAGCATACCTACGTGAGGAGAGCCATTCCATTTTACTAGTTTAACATCAGCCCCAAGTTCTCGTAAGCGTTGCGAAAAATTATAGATAACTTGATAGGGGGCAAGATCGTCATTCTCCGAGCATAAGATGAGATACGGCGCCTGCATGCCCTGCATAAGAATCATAAAGAATAAATGAAGAGAACAAAATGACATTTTAGATAAAGGACAGCCTGGAGTATACTTAGTTACTCACAATTGTGGAGTAGAGAGTCTGCCAATACTCAGCACGTTGTGACTCAAACCTGTTAAGAAAGAGCGCATCGAGCCCAGATGCAATGCTCTGCGCCATCCAGGATGCAAATCTTGGTGGCTTAGATATTTTCAGGACACTTGGGTGAAGAACGAATTTAGCACCCAGATCACTAGTAAAGTCCACTGGACAGGAATCAAAGATGTGGCCAGAAATACAGTCTTTAACCAGTCGGCAATCATCCTTCACGGTCAAAAAGATGAAGATTAATAAGATTACGGATAATAGAACTCTCAAAACTGTAAGAATCAGTCCAAATGGAACGTTCCACCCCATACTGCCCCTAACATAAAAAATACCAATGATCACCTAAAATATTTCAGTGATAAATGAGATTGGCAGTCGTTTTCTTCATTGGTCCCCTTATGTGACGCCTCAACGTCTTTTAAATACAAAAATTACATTATTTTTTATAAGTCAAGTCAGTCACTAATGAAATTCAAAGGAATAAAAGAGTATACCAGATTCAGTTTTTCTTCACAAGTTCCCTCAATTATCTGCACAAAATGAAAGATGCAGTCAATACTTATCCTCAATCAATTGGATGCTTGCTACTTTACATGACCAGTGAAATCCTTTTGACATTGAAAGTACGAAAAAATATGGAGCATTCAGAACTGCAAGGAGTTTACCTGAAGAACTTTGAGCATACAGGCTTTTGGACCACCAGAAAAAGAAGCGAAGACCACTGGGCAAGGCTTAATCTTCAACTCCTGTATTTCATATAAAAAGGAAAGCGGTAATTGGTCAACTTTACTCAGGAAAATCAATTAAACAGGTTCTTTAGTATCTCTGAACCTATTAATATATCACTGTGGTATAAGTTATAACTGACCTCAACAAGTTCATTTAGAATATCCGTTGCTATAGTTGTAGCCTTCTCAGGGAAGAACCTGCAGAAATCATGCATATCAAACGATAGTCCAAAATCAAAATGATCCGTGCAAACCGCCCCATGTCATTCTACAAGTAGCAATTATACATAAATGATTGATTGCAGCCACAAAAACAGACAGATCCAAACATAGTAGCTCAAGTTCTGCAAGTTATTTTGAGCTTTGAAACATTTAAAGATTGAATTTTAAGGCGAATTATATCATCACTGGGAGGAAGAATATAAACAACGATGTACTTAGTAATCTTCTTGAAACATTCATGTACAAAAGAATAATTCCGTCAATTAAAGGCAGTCCTTCCTTTCTCTGTAACGTGCCTACTGCCAGGAATGTTTCCCTAAATGCCGCCAACTAGTATAAATAAGTTGCAAGCCATCGAAATAATATTTCTCCTCCACAAATTTACGTATTCATCAAAACAAGTCAAACCCGATTGGGAACGAAAGTAAAAGCAGAAACTTGATAGGAAAACATCACCAATTCAGCGAAAATATCCGAACAACAACTTACATATTGAGAAATTGAGAGTGGCAGACCAAAGAGTTCCAACCCAAAGACGAGTAGAGCTCCACGAAGCTCTTCAGCTGCCTCTCCTGGCTCGACATCCACGCAAACAACACCACTATCCCTTCAACCCCATCGCTCCGCCGCTCCTTCCTTCCCCAATAACACCGACCCCCGAACCCCCACATCTCCTCAGCCGCTCCCAGCAACCCAACTCTTTCTTTCTGCAGAATTCTCAGAACTCGAGCTGCAAAACGCTGACTTTTCGAATTGGGTTTCTCTAGGAACTGCAGATAATTATTGGGTTGGAGTTCAATTCGATCGAACGGATGAAGAAATGGAGGGTGTGATTATCTGGTTTCCATCCCAAGTAAAAAGCTTGCATCTTTCGGGCAGGGGAATGGGCGTTTTGCCAGCTTTGGACTTTTTGGACTCACTGCTAATTTTAAGAGAGAGAGAGAGAGAGAGAGAGAGAGAGAGAGGAGAGGGTGGGATGGGAGGGGGGCGAACAGATAACTTTGCTCTGATTTGTTCGGCAACTGTCATATTTATCGTGCACTGAATATATATATATACTATATATATATATATATGAAATAGGATCAAGAATAAATATTTTTACAAATACTTTTACATTTTTTTTAAGCCTTTTGATTATATGACATCCAATGATTCTTATTAATTTATTAAATGACATAGATGCTTATGTTGATTTTAACTAGTATTAAACATAAAATAAAACTGAAAAAAGCATAAAATCTGATAAATTAAAAATATAATTAAAAAAGGAAGGTAATTTAACTAAAATTGGTTCTCTCGTTCCTATTTCGATCAAAACTTGGATTCAGACTTTGAACTCTAATAAAAAAAAGGAATTGCTATTAGCACTCCAAAAATCTCATTCTACACTTCAAACTCTCTATATTTAGAAAAAAAAAACACTTATAAAGAGTGTAGAATGAGATTTTTAAAGTACCAATAACATTTTCCTAAAAAATCATGAAACTTTACTGAAAACAGCTTCGAGGGGTCGCCCCATTTCTTCTTGTGTTATCTCGAAGGCAGCCTGAATCAATGCATGCCATATGCTATAATAAATTAAGCAAACCCCACAAAGTAGAAGTGTCTCATCACAAATGCAAGCAACTGGAACCAATAACTTTTTGGTAAATTGAGATTCTACCTTATTGGGGAAGGGAGGAACGTCATCTTGAAGAATGCAGAGTTCGTTCATATAATCTTCTCTGATAATATCAGGTCTGTTTGCGAGAACCTTTCAATACATGGGTGAAATCAGGCATGTGTTTGATTGCACAAGCATATGAATTTAAAGAAGAAGTTTCATGATATTTTTATTAGGGTTCAAAGTCTGAATCCAAGTCTTGATCGAAATAGGAATGAGAGAACCAATTTCACTTAAATTATTTTTCTTTTTTAATTATATTTTTAATTTTCCAGATTTTATGTTTTTTTTTTATCTTTAATAGTAATTAAAATCCACATAAGCATCCATGTCATTTAATGAATAAATAAGAACTCTTAGATGTCATGTAATCAAAAGGCTTAAAAAGAGTGTAAAAGCATTTGTAAAAATATTTGTCCCTGAATCTTATCCCTATATAGATATATGAAGGGTCATAATATAATTGTTATTTTTTAAGTTTTTAATTGTATTATTATATTTGATGTACTTGTCGTGTGAGCACATTGAAAAAAAATTCTTTTTTATGCTCGACGTATTAGGACATTTGGTCTGATTTGTACAAAGTTATACTTGTAATACATGGAACACAATTGAGTACATCAAGAATCATAATATAAATAATTATAATTTTTTTTTCAAATATTGAACCACTTTCTCATAACATTTATTATATTAAACCGTGTCGTAGCACACTAAAAATTCTCTCCACACTTCGCCACCAAAAGCGTGCCAAATTCTGTAAGTTTGAGCCTTAATCCACTAGTAGAAAAATCACTTTGAGCGACGTAGGTACCTTCGTCGTGCAAAGTCAAAAATCGTTGCCTGAAAAATAGGCACAACAAAACCTTCGTCGTGTAAAGGCAGTGATAGTAGGGTTTGCGCAACGATGAGGAAACACTCGTCACTCAATGACACTTTGCGCGACACAGGGAGTGCGTCGCACAAAGTGATTTAGGTGGCTTTGCGCGACGTAGGACATATGTCGCGTAAAGTGGCTTAGTGGCTTTGAGCGACGTAGGCATGCATCGCGCAAAACCCTTTTTTTTGTTTATGTCAAAAATATTTTTTTAAAATTTTTTTAATAAATATTGTAATTACATTCTAAACAATAATTAATTAACCAAGCAAAAGTATTTAGTTATAAAATATATGAAATTGTACATACAAGATGTCCGAACAAAAGAAAAACTATAATTAGTCTTCTAGGTTTGATACATCAAGCTATTGGGTATCAGCAGGTGAGGTGGCTCTGAGGTCAAAGGTGGAGTAAGATCAAGTGCTGGTAGTGAGATTTAGAGGCCAGACATCTGTATGGCTCGTACAAGGTCTCTCACCGTCCAGGCATAGGTCCTCATCTCCCCGCCCTGGGCCCTCATCTCCTCACCCTGGACCGCAAGCTAACCTTTTAGGGTTGTCACTTCCTCCTTCAATGCATTGATCTCTGCTGCGTTCAATATAGAAGAAGAGGCACATGTCTCGCGAACCCGCGTTTTACCCATACACCGAACAACCTTGCCATGATGACGATTGAAGCTTTGATCTAAGACACCAGTCAGGATCTGAAAACCTGCATCCTTGAGAACCGTGACATCCTCGATCGGGGTCTCTCGGGGAAGCTGCGATGTTGTTTCTTGGAGAACAGCAGTGCTCTTTTCCACCACAGCAGCCTGTAATGATAAAGAAAAAACATATAATGTTTAATAACAAAATATAAATAATATTTGAACGATTCATACATATAAGAAGAATAAGAATTACATATACTTACATGATGATGATCCGTGGTCTTATCACCAGGTCGAACGTAAACCTCCTTGAACAGGTCGATCTCTAGAAACTTATAACCTTCTTGAAGAAAAAAAAACATTAAGAAAATTTTATTAATCAATAATAATAAATAAATTGTATAAAATTTCAAAGTTAATATACTTTTACCTGATGTCGTGCCTCAAGCCTATACGAAAAGGGCTTCGAATCGAAATGGTGGAGAAGTGTCTTTGATTCCCGAGCTTTCTTGCTAGCAATAGATTTCTTCTGTTAAACACACAATATACATGTTAGTGCAACTATTTGAAATAAAATAATAAAAAAGGCTTAAAAAATAACTAAAATAATAATAAATTATTATTAAAATATTATGTACATACCACAAATTTTGGGTCCGTAAAATGTTTGCAGAGCCATTCCCAATCCTCCAGTCAGTCTTGTAACTCAATTGGAACATGTAGGCGAGCAATCTTCGGATCATTCCATCACTTAAAATACGTGTGAAAACTGTTCTTACACTGTTTGTACTGGGTTGCTAAAGACTCCTCTAAGTAGGCCATGGCCTCAGGGCATATGTCCTGAAGATCATAAATGACCTACGAATATGAAAAGGACAATTTTGTCGAATAACAACACCACATCTACTAACGACGCTACTATGTTGCTGTGAGGTAGCCGCTTCACGATGTTGCGGGTTATACTGCAATCTTGATCTTAGAGGTGGCCTGACGTACGCTCTGTGCCTGCTTCAGCATTCGACTAGGCCCCCTGGTTTTTTTTTCTAGCTGACCAAAAATACTTAAATGGTGAAAACCCTAAGCTTAAATTTGTACAAAAAATTCGACACAACTTCTCCTAATAGTATAGCATTTCCCAAAACCTTAAAACATTAAAATAACAGTAATTCACAACCCACAACACATTTTCACAATCCAACAAATTTTCACCATCATAAAAATAATAGTTTTAAAATGAAAAAAAAAAAATACAACGTAGTGAGAATTAGAAAAAACTACCTAGCTGGGAAGCTTCACCCTCGACTCTGGAGGTTGAGGAAGTGTGATTAGAAGGCTCCTGCTCGCAGCGGCGCCGGTGAGGCCGCCGTGCACTGAGTAGCTAAACCAACACTAATGACGTCGATGAGACGGGCACCTGAGACATCGTAGGAGTAGCCTCATTAAGGGGGTGTAGGCTCCCCAATCAATGGAGCACTCACGCCTGGAGCAGTGCTAATAATGCGGGAGGCACATTGGTCACACTCTGACGACGAGTGATCAACTGCGACATCTATACACTTTTTGAACCATAAAAATATAACATTAGAAACTAATCATTTCTTGCATTTGAAATTAGAAGAAAAAAGCAAAGAAAACTGAACAAATAAACCATGTGTGAAGAAAGCAAAGAAAACTGAACAAAACATTAACCGAAGATTAAAAAGTGTAATGAATCCAAGGCAGCACGATTGATTAAAAAAAGTCAAACCTAAACCAAGAGACCTATCCTAATCTGTCAAACCCCCAACCCAACTTTCTATAATTTGATCTCCTAGGCTTAGTGTGTTTAATCATAACAATTACTAATCGAAGGCAGCACGATGGACTGTTTTTTTTTTTTTACTACGTATAATTTGATCTCCCAAGCTTAGTGTGTTTAATCACAAAAATTACTAATGAAAACGACTAAAGAAAACAAATTACCAAATCCATAATCCTTTGCAAACAGAGCTAGTCAAAGTTAGTACCTCTACTTATCAAGAACTCAATTCTATGCACACACGAAGATCGACTTAAGACAATATCAGATCACTATCCAATGCTCAATTCACATCCAAATATCCAATTTCCTCAAACAAAAAAAATATATACAATTTAAACAAAGAAAACTAATCCTTCCTTGTGTTTGAAACTAGATAAAAAAAAGTAAAGAAAACTGAACAAATAAACCAACTTTGGAATTTTGGGAAAAACAAAAAGTACACACTGCATGCAGTAACATGCAGCAGTTGACCTTTGGGGATGAAAGGAAAGCATTTTCCTTCTGGTCTATGGTGAGATTAAATTGTTAGCATCTAATCAAACTGCCGTGAAAAAATACCACAATTGTGATTGACATATAAGTAGAAATGAATTTTCCCATTTCCCATTATAATTGGAGAGTGTAGGCGGATCACTTCCCGGGCCCGCTCCACCACCATAGCACGATATTGTCCGCTTTGGGCTTACCATTCCCTCACGGTTTTGTTTTTGGGAACTCACGAGCAACTTCCCAGTGGGTCACCTATCATGGGATTGCTCTAGCCCCCTTCTCGCTTAACTTCGGAGTTCTGATGAACTCCGAAGCCAGTGAGCTCCCAAAAGGCCTCGTGCTAGGTAGGGATGAGAATATACATATAAGGTTCACCCCTGGGCGATGTGGGATGTCACAATCCAAGCGAGTAGCGTGCGAGAGCAATCCCATGATGGGTGACCCATTGGGAAGTTGCTCGTGAGTTCCCAAAAACAAAACCGTGAGGGAATGGTAAGCCCAAAGCGAACAATATCGTGCTACGGTGGTGGAGCGGGCCCAGGAAGTGATTCCCCCCGGGCCGGGATGTGACAATTTGGTATCAGAGCCTAACCCTGGCTGCGTGTGTGCCGACGAGGACGTCGGGCCCCTAAGGGGGTTAAGTAGGAAAGGTAAACCCTTTCAATACAATACTTAAAAAAAAAAAAATCATAAATATAAAAATAATAATAAAATAAAACTGACATGAGGAAATTAAAGTTACTTTTGCATATCTATGAGCCATTACAAAGAAATAATTGCAGCATTATGAAGTAATAGCTTTTGCTAAATTTGATCGTTTACCCTTAAGGAAAAAAAGTTAAATTTGCTATTTGCAAGCTAAATCCTTCATCTCACGCTCACGGAATTAATGATGGAATAAGCTTATGCACTCCTGGAAGAGATATTGAAATGATAGACCTCTGTGTTTTTCTTTTTCCTAACATGAATTGCCAACAGACAACGACATTAACCATGAACAAATTATCAACATACAACCTAATATTCGACAGCCGGCCAATCACTCTTACCATACTATCCTTCCATCTGCAAGCATTTACATTTCTAACGTATCACTTAAACTAGGTGAGATGAAAAAATGCCAAGAGGGCAAATGGGTCCGGATCTATAATCACATTAGCTAGGGTTTTGAAACGATAAAAGTGAATATATTCTTGCGCCATGAAGTAAAGACACAGGAAAACCAAATGTACAAAAACACATGTTGGACTTCATTACTCTTATCGTCCCTACCAATATCAAATCACTATCCAATGCTCAATTCACATCCAAATATCCAATTTCCTCAAACAAAAAAAATATACGATTTAAGCAAATAACCTGTAGACAAGATTCACTTTAATCATATCCAATTTCCTCAATCACCTAAACCTTCCTTCCTCCCTATTCCACCAAGAACACCTCCATATTCATACATAAAACACACATATAGAATCAACAAAATTGCAAAAACTTCAGACAATCAACTCGAATCACATCACGAAAAAAGCAATCTGACCCTAAACCAGAACCAACATCCAATTTTATTTGGAGATTTCGACAAAGTACTCAGAAATCAACATGCAATTTGAGCCTAAGCCCTAAATAACAAAAACCCATAAAAAATCATAAACCCTTACCTTGATTTTGGGACTTGATTGCGTGGTGGGGCCGTTGTTTAGAACGAGAGGGAGAGAGACAACCGACAAAGTAGTGGTGGTGGTTGGATTTGAGATTGTGAAGAGGAAAGACATGTATGGGTTCAAGATTTGGGTTGAAGCTTGCGAAGAAGAGGAGAGAGAGGTCTACGGGAAAGAGAGAGGGGGAGAAATGGGCGAGAGGGAAGAGTGAGGTCTACGGGAAAGAAAGAGTTGGGGTCCTTGGAAACTTGAAAAAAAAAGCGCCTATTTTTCAGTATTGCACCACCAAAATTATCACAAGTGGCGTGACTTAAGTATACAACTTGACGCCACGCAAAGTGGTTTTGTGTGATGATCACATTAAGGCGTCTCGCAAGGTATTATTTTAAAAAAAAAATTATAAAAACTACTGAAAATGACTTTCCTCCTTTCCAATTCATTTTTTTTTTGTTTACATAAACCCTACAATAATATATTTTTCGAACAAAAACCCACAATAATTTTTTTTACATATATATCATTCAATTTCTTAAGTGTTATAAGTACAAAATAAATAAATTAAAATCTACTTAGTAAATATATATACCATTGAACTTGATGGGAAACACATTGTACGAAATTAGTTTCAAAGATCCAACCGTCAAACTTGTTTGTATATGCTTCGAGATCACATACGCAAGTAATGAGACAAATCTTTTCAACGGTTATAAATGAAAAATCTCCATTTAACAGTAGTTTTAACTCCGATTTTAATGATTTTTTATAGCTACACTCTCGGATCCTATATGAATACAAGAACTAATTCGATCGTCAATTTAAAATATTTACACAAGTGGATATCATAAAATCTTATGTTATACTTACTGAAAGTATAAATAAACTTCAAATGTTAGTAAAGTATATATAAAAAAAAAACCTTGCACGACATATGTATAAAGATTTTGAGAGGGTGGGAGGGAGGGAGTTGGGGTGGGACAGATAACTTTGCTCTGATTTGTCCAAACTGACATATTTTTCGGTGCATTGAAAGTATTCAAAACTTCTCATGATATTTATTATACTAAACCGTTGCAGCACACCAAAAATTCTCTCCACAGTTCGCCACCAAAAGCGTGCCACAGCAAGTCCTGTAAGTTTGAGCCTTCAATCATGGAAAGTACGCTTACTTCACACGTGGTGGTGTTTTATTGAATGGAGGTGTAAGCACGCTGGATTGACCCGTACGCCAAAGAGTTGCTAATTTTGTGAGTTATTTTTTTATCGCCCTTTTTTATGTTTGATTTTTTGGGGGAAGATTAGTCGTGTTGTAACGTTGTTTGATAACTTTGTCGTTTTCTTGCACTGTTTCCACCTCCATTCGGTTTGGCTGCTATTTTATTGACTTAAATCCTAACCCATCTAATTTGTCCTTTTCATTTCAACTACGTGTTCAACGCACCGGCGTCTGAGATAAACCATTGCCCTGACTGCATTTGCATAAATAAACCGTTTAAATACTAGTCAATTTTTTTTTTTTTGCTTTCTCAATTCTTAATTTGAAGTTGAGCCATTTATTTTTTTAAACGTCCAAATTTAACCCCCTACATTCAAATTTGTCAATTTTTCTACATGATTGAAGCATAAGGAGATTAGTGCACATTTCAATACATCGTCAGTTTTTAAGCCGGGAGTGAAAATTTTGGATTATTGCCACTTGTATCAGGACATAAAATCTACATAATTTTGAAGGACTGAGTAGTTTAATTACAAGTCATTGACTCAGATCCGCTAGCAGTTTTTCAAGTGCCTCATTCGTGAGAGGGATGTGCAAGCAATCCTGGCCGTCAGAATTCCTTCGGTCTTCACCAACTCATGATCTTTGAATTCTGTCATATGGGAGTTAAGGGCAAGCTGGCTGCTCACAAGGAACCGCTCTCGACAGGTTTGCGTACAGATTATCAATCGGCATCCCTGAACAATACGGAAGTTATCAGATAATGGATGGAATGGATTATAGAGGTTAAAGCTCCAAGAGTTAATATAGGCTTTATAGCTACTTACCTTCTTCGTTCGAGCGGGATAGTTGATATTCTGAAAGAACTTTGAACACGCTCTGAGCATTGGATGTGAAACTCTGCAAAACTATTGTAGCACCTTTGGCACTTTGGGTGGTATTTCCATGTGCAAGGATCAGCGGAATGAGCATTCCTTCGACCTTGTATGGTGCAAAGGTAGGAACGTGATGCCAGCACCAGTTGAACTGTGTGTGAACCATCTTCTTGTCCCACACTATTAAATGAAAAGAAGGTGTGATTAAGTTGATGGCATATGATATTGTTGTTTTGCAGAGTAACAAAAAACGGTTTCTTTAGTTCTATGTTTATGAAGACAGAGACGCAAAGTTTCAGGAACCAACATGAGTCAGAGACTCAGAATTCAGAGGTCCTAAGTAAACCTATTTAACAAGTTATAACAAGAATAGACTTACAAAGAGGTGCATTCACATGATCAATAGAGGCCACAATGCGAATATGAGAACAAGAAGCAACTTGTGCAAGACACTGTTGGTTTTCCAAGTCCCTTAATCCAGGTCCATCAATGTTGTGAATGACGACACATACTACACATTCGTTTGTGGTATCTTCCGATCCATCCAAAAATGCAAGAAGATCATCCATGGATCTGGAATTAAATGGCTGTTGCGCTTTGGACGAGCTCCTGGAAGGACTCCTTTTGGTTTTCAATTGATCCCACAGAAGTTCAGCTAAGGCTACCACAACCTACATTGCAAACATTTGGTAGCCCGGTAAAGCCATACAATTGGCAAATGTAGAACGATAACAAAATGCTTTGGAACCGTATCCAAAATATATTACCTGTTTTATATTTGTTCCCTGCAGATATCCATTGACAACAACCACAGAATACTCGGTTAACAATGTTGAAGCAAAATCTTCAAGCAAGGCCTTCTTAGATCCAAATCCATACATAAGAAGGCCAAGACCACATCTACACATTAAAAAAGGGTAAATAAGAACAAACATTAGCAGAACCTTTCAACTATAATCTACGGAAAAACTGATTCGAAATAGAAGGCATCAAGTCCACAACTAAATCATTTGTTAAAAGAATATAACGCAACTCCTTGTTGTAAGAAAATATTAGTAGATATTGCCAATAGAATGAATGCATCAAAGCAGTTGTGGTCAATTATATACTCAAGTACAAAAAAGCACTATAATTTGTGGCATATGCAGCCAGAATGATCAATACGTTCTCTTTTGGCAAACAATTTGCAAGTCCATCTGGATGAGAACATTACGGGCTCGTTTGGTGCCCAGGATTGGCATGAATTGAATAACTCACTATGTTCAAGGCATGTTCATGGACAAGTCATGATGAAAACTTATCACTTGCAATCGCAATAAACTAGTGGGATATCGAGGCCTCGTAACTTATCCCTTCTAATCCCTAGAAAATGAAAATTCCTTCACCTCTATTTTCATTTCTCATTTCGTTGTACACCTAACCATACGAGTTATCCAATCCTAGACACAAACGAAACCTGAATGCCGAAATAGAAACAAAGAAATCTAAAAACCCAATTGCAATAACAGCATTTCAAACATTTCTAATCAATCTACAAGCTAGAGGAATACCACAGCTCAAAAGCCCATTCTGGGTACGAACTCTTATAACTGTTCATCACATCCTTCCCCTCTTTCTCGTGTTTGGGTTCGATTTGAGCCGCCGCCGCAACCAGTTCCGGCCAAAGTTTCAAGCTTTAACAAAATTAACAAAAAAATTTGGAAATTTTGAAGGAATTGAAGGCGACCCAGCATTACCTGTTCGTCGACGATATCGATATCTGAGATCTTCGGCTGCGATTTCTTGCCGGAACCGCGGAGCTCCTTTGCCAGAAAGTAGTTTCTGGAGAACCCAAACCCTTCGTTCTCGCCGTCGTTCATCTCCTTGGCTTTGATTTCGACTTGATTGCAGCCCCCAAATCACTCCAAGTCTCAGAGGACGTGTGCCCTAGTAAAGCTGCTTTCTGCAGTTTTTTATTTTCCCGCGATTTTTCTCTTTTTCTTTGAGTAACTGGACATGGGCCGAGTCTGGACTATTGGCCCACTTTTACTGTTTCCTCTTGTAAGCCCTATTCTTTTTCAGTCACTTGTCTAACGGCTTGTTTAAAACTACTTTTTAAAAAGCATTTATGGCGTTTTTGCAATAAGTGATTTTACTATAAGCACGGTAATTTTTTAATTAAAACTTCAAGTTTTTATTGGAAAGTATTTGTATGCCTCGTAAACATTTTACAATTTTGGTGCAACACGTAGTTAGGCAACGTTACTTTGTAATTCAAAAGTTATCTCAAACAATCCGTACTATTGCTAACAAATTAAGCAAAATAACCACATTAAAATTGAGCAAAACACGGTAACCAGAAATATCTTATGAACAAAAAATAAATTTAGATAACACGTAATTAAATCAAATCCTTAATTAGAATGTGATAGTTGACTTCTTCTTTTATGTAGTTGTGATAGTTGACTTCTTACAAAGGAAAGTTTACCTTAAGTGAAACAAATTCGTGTTCTCCAAAAAAAAACCAAATAAAAAAAAAAAAAAAACAAATTCGTTTGTTGTGGTCTTACCAATTTCATAGTTTCACATTATTTAATATTGGGGGCAGAGGTGTGGTTCAATTGTTTTACACAACTTTTAACAATGTTCCTGTAAATACCAATTTGTAATGTATTTTAACGATATGAACCGTCTACATTTTAAAATATATGTAGTGAAGAAAATGAACACATGCGATTCTACAAAGAAACCTTAAACCCTTAATAGTTCATATTTGAGTGATTTTGGGTAGAGATGATCTTTTAGAGAAGATCTGAATAATAGACAGCTTAGATCGTTGAAATACATTATGAAATGGATCTCATAAAAATGCGTGTTGAAAATTGTGTAAAATCATAGTGACACACAACCGTCCCAACAAATAGTATATGCTATAATTTCCAAGTGAACCGAGAGTTTACAAGTAAGGAAATGGATCATCTCCGAATTACTTCCACCAAATCTTGTCAATCAACAAATTCGGATCCTTGAAATTTGATCAAACCGCTAAAGTTATTATAATTTTTAAAGAGTCCCCCCTATTTTTAGTCATTGGATCAAATTTCAAAAGTTCAGATTGATGGAAGGGATCTGGAGATATCCCTTTCATACGAGCAATACTATAATTAATCCAAAGTTAATTAAGATAATCGAATTAAATAAATTGTCCTCAATTCTCGACACGTGGCAACTAGGAGAAGAAATAAATTATGTTTAGTGTGCCGACAATTATACGTGTCAAATCCTCCTAATAAATTATAAAAATAAAACTATGGCACATCACATCATTCCATTGTTGTATAAAATGAAATATATGCACGTATTAGTAGCTTGATAGGTATATATCACAAATTAAAAAAAAAAAATTATTATTATTTAATTGGATACTGATCACAATTTAAGTAATATATATTTGTTCACTAAATTTTTGATATACCTTGATAAGTGAGTTTAATCGTTAAATATTTGTTATTAACAGCAGATATTGTCCGCTTTGGGCTCCGATCACGTCCTCACTGTTTTGTTTCTCGGAACTCACACGAGAACTTCCCAATGGGTCACCCATCATGGAAATGCTCTCGCCCGAACTCACTTAACTTCGAAGTTCCTATGGAACTTGAAACCAGTAAGCTCTCAAAATGCTTCGTGCTATATGGAGGTAGGTATGTACATATAAGGCACATCACCCTCTTTCCGTTGGTCGATGTGGGATATAACCATCCACCCTCCTTAGGGCCCTGACATTCTCATCGGCACACTTCCGCACCAGTGATTGGCTCTGATACCAAATTGTCACATCTTGATCCGAGCCCCAACCACATCTCGGCTCGACTCCACCATAGCACGATATTGTCCGCTTTGGGGCCCGACCATGCTCTCACGGTTTTCTTCATGGGAACTCACACGAGAACTTCCCAATAGATCACCCATCATGGGAATGCTCTCGTCTGAACTCGCTTAACTTCGGAGTTCCTATGGAACTCGAAGCCAGTGAACTCCCAAATGGCCTCGTGTTATATGGAAGTAGGCATGTACATATAAGACACATCACCCCTCTTCATTGGTCGATGTGGGATGTAACATTCAAACTTAAGGCATTTTCTACCAAATTTGTGTTGGATGGTGAAAAGTTTAACTTGAAATTTTACATGATTAAAGTCTAAATCAATTAGTTAAAAAATTGTCAAATCAACTAGGTAAAATTAGGTTTGGTTCAAACAACAAAAATGATTATTTTGCTATGGTGTCAAAATTTTGAGGTTCCTAGCCTCAAATTAAATTTAGTTGAGTGACATTTACTTACTCACAATCGATGTATACTATTTCAAGTTACGTCAGTAGCATCTAAAAACATTAAAATTTTGTTAATGTCATATTCAAATATGATTGTACTTGTCAAAATGCGTTTGGTGCCAGTACTAATTTTTTTTTTAAATGTTCTCAAACTAATTTTTGTATGATTATAGATATTGGAACAAACAAATCTAAAGGAAGAAATGGAGGCAAATTAGTATTGCAAAAATAAAACAAAATAAAAATTAGTTCTCCCAAAATAAAACATAGGATTAGGACGTGATCCACGCACGGCGTATGTTAGCGCAAGGCAGAGGAGACAAGGCAAATAGGTTGATTAAGCTGTTTCACCACTACCGAGCAAACACCAACAATCACGGAATCATCCGAGAAAACACCATAATCATTCTTCATTAATCCCCCCTGCGCAGACCAGGCTACTCATTCTTCATTAATCTTAATCATTATCTTTTAATCCCTTTCTCTATCGTAATTACGACGACGGCTTTGCGTGTATCTCACAAAATCGTAGCGAATAAGGCAAGACAGAAAATACCCAGAAGCCAGAAGCCAAAGCAAAAGCACTCATTCCACTGCTGCGCTGGAGCAAAGGACAAGCTGGGTCTGTCGTCGTAAGAGGTGAGGCTTCGAAAGTTGTGGGCTTTTGGGTTTTTGATCTGGGTCTGGGTCTGATCGATCTGTGAGGTCGGCAGATATGGTGGGATGAAGGAGAAGAGACGAAGGCATGGCTCGGGTAGGAGGAGAATGGGGATTTAAAGGTAGAGGGATTTGGGGTTTTTCATACAAGAAGACCACTCTCCTCGTTTGCTCCATTAACATCGTTGTTGCTCTCTATGTTCTTCGCTCTCTGTACGGTTCTCTCTACATCTACTCCGATAGAGATACACGCCCCAGTACGTTTCTCTCTCTCTCCTAGCTTCTGTAAATCTTGGTTATTTGAATGATCCACTAGCTGTTTGAGGTGTTTCTGGTAAAACCCAGTTGGGAATTTAGCTTCTTGTGTGATGAGTTTTCTTTAAATTTTGTTGCTTTGGATTATCCACTAGCTGTTTGAGGTATTTTTCAGAGAACCCAGTTGGGAATTGTGAGGAAATGTTTTGTTTGTGAATTGGTTCAGCGTTTGAGTACACTCCGGATCAGATTAGGAAGATGGAGGAATCAGTTCGGATTCGAAAAGCAGCTGAACCGGTTGAGCTAATTAGATTGGTAAGATATGCATTTTGAGTTTTCTGTGGTGGTAGGTAGATCCGTTTGATTGAATCGGTAGAGCGATATGCTGCGAGTCCTTTTAATTTAATGGAGGACTATTCTGTTGTGCGCAAAAGGTAAAGGCACTGAAGAAGGAGCTTTACAGAGAGGTAGCGGTTGAATTGCCGCAGCCTTTGAAACTGAAGATGACTAATGAGATAATTGATAGGTTGAAAACCTTGAGGCCCAAAGCAAATATTACTGAGCAGAGAGGTCAGTGCAGCTCAATTTTATTTTCTTTAGCTTATCTCTTTTTGTTATCTGCATTTCAAGCAAATCTTTATGTTGGACTAGAATAATTAATAGCCATGCAATATCAAATCTCAAATCTTGTATAAATGGTTTAAAACATAATTCATCATTCCGTGATTTTCAACTCTATCTTGAAATAGATATGATTACGAATTTATGCTTTATCTTTGTTGATTTCAGTTTTTGTATCTGAAATTAAAATTATCGACATTGATAACAAATTCTAATAACCATTGAGTGGTTCTTTGATACTGTCACATTAAGGTTGAATGAAGTGTCGTTTTCTTGAGCAACTGTACAAGTTTTGGTAAGGGAGACAATCCAAAGATTTCGTAGCTTTAGTTTGAGTCCCTAATCATTAGGCTTTTTATGTTTTTCTATAAGTTTATTTTCTGTTTGTGCATGCTTTCCCGTTATCTATTTCTTTATGATATTGTATCATCGTATGGTAGATTTTCTGCTTTCAATATTCCAACTACTTGTTCAGCTTTCTGAAGGAAATTATCCGTTACATATTCAGAAATAGCATATTTAGGAGTGAAGGCGAGAACACACGTTAAAGGGAAGTTTAGGTAGGTTTCACGTGAAAGGATATAGAAGATTGGCTGTTTTGTCTTGAGGAACAAATTGCTTCCTGATATTCTGGTAGCATGTAAATTTTCTCTTGATTTTATGACAAACCAGATCTTTGTAAGGAAGGGATTGCTTTAGGCATTTCTCTGTATTTCTGTAACCACTCAAAAACTTATAGTCTAACGTAGCTTTTTCTGTTTTCCGTGCTGTTTTTGTCTCTTTGGGTAGGTGGTGCATGATGACCTGGATAATTGTTGTTTTTTTTTTCCTGGATAATTGCTGTTTCAGTTAACTATGGAATTCTCAATTTATCATGTGACTTAAGTGGGGTCAATACTGATTGTCTTTTTAGTAAGAGTGGCCATAGTTTAGATATGTGAGTACCTTGTGTGTTTTAGTACCTAGATATGTTCCAGTTAAGTGTAAAGTGCTTTCACCTTGTTCAAGTTTTGAGTGCTTCTTTCACTCGTACATTACAAGTTTACAACATATTCGCCAAAAGGTTACCCCAGCATATACCAGAATTCAATTGCATGTAAACCACCAACCTTTGTAAAGTGTTGTTCCCATTAATCAATTTGACCCATTTGGATATATAAATTTGAATTTGTTTAAATTCCCATGGCTACACTAAGTTCTTTACAAACACTTATCAGCTGCTAATAATTAAACTGACCAACTATGATTAGTGTGATGAGCTAAAGGATACAAAATATGTGTTATATAATTCAGTTTATTATTTCTCATTACTTGTAGTAATTAAGTTATCATGTCGATGGTGGTTGCTTAAATAAACAGAAGTAGTTGAAAGATGGTGCAAGGAAAAACTAAAAGAAGCTAAGCAGTTGGCAATTGAGACCGAGACTTCAAATTCAACAGTCCTTCATGAGGAAGCAGGTATGGTCATTATTTGTGAACTATGTGTGGTTTCTTTTTAGGATTCAATAGCTTATATGATGCAGCAGTCTATGAATGGTAGTATAATTGTTTTGACAAACTCTGGTGTTTACTGTTCTGATTTTGTTTTCTATAGAAATGCTAGTAAAAGCTTTGGAATCTGATTCCACTTGGCTGTTGGAAGATTTGGGCCTTTGGATTCCTCCTGAAATTCGTAACACGGAACATCATGATAAACCTGAGGGTGAAGAAGAGGAGTTAGGTACTTCATCAATTTCGGCTCCATGCCCTTCTCTTCTTTCTATCATTAAAAAAAAATCATCTTTTATTTTCCTTTACAAAATAAAAAGAAAACGTCACGATCCTTGTCTGGTAGTTTTGAGAAGTTTACTCATTTAGATACTAGAAACTTTTTCCATGTGTTGATGTACGTATTCCTTTGTTTTTCTGTAGACGATCAAATTTTGCCTGGCAGGCCGCTTCCTCCTGAATGCCATGCAGAAGTTCATACAGATTATGATGGTGCTGCTGTAAGATGGGGGCTTAACCACCACAAAGATAGTGCAGCTGACTGTTGTCAGGCTTGCTTGGATCAAGCTAAACGTGCTAAGCCTAATGAAAAGAGATGTAATATATGGGTTTATTGCCCGTCGGAAACTGGTTGCCATTCTCCAGATATCTATGAGCATAAACTTGGAGAGTGCTGGCTTAAATACGTAAGAACTAAATAACCGTTTCGTTATAATTTATATATTCGTGATTATGTTGATCCAGTTGAGCCTAATATTTCTTGTCTTCAATCATCAAAATGCAGGCAGAAACGCCTAAACTTAATTTCAAGGACAAGTATCCTGAATCATATAGAAACCGCCATCCGTCTGCACCATTCGTTGTTCCTTGGGCCTCTGGCATTGTTGGCGCACGATAGGATTTCGCCACTCCCAGCAGAAAAGGACAAACCCTTGTCATTGTAACTTGACCTGCAAAGGCTTACCATATTCTGGAAACATCACAAAACACACGAAGGTACCTTTCACTGGAATATGTAATCATGGTCTCCCTGGGTTTATATACTTTTGTTCCGTTAAATTGTTCTGTGAAAAATAGAGGAAAATAGGAAGAGTTTTCGAAGAGAGGGAGATGGAGTGACTGTAAGGTTCAGGGTGCGCTCCATGCTGCTTGTTTGTTCACGAGTCATTTTTTGTATTACGGTCTGTCATGGTGTTTGGCGCCGATGATTCAAGATAAAGAAGTCCTGGTCGGAGGCATAGGGAGCTTTGTTGTTAGACGTTGAAACTCTCCCCGTGCATCGGTAACGAATGGGGAATATGAATTTCTGTCTCTGAACATTGTGTATTACTCTCTAATTCTTTGGATAACTACATAATGCTCTCTATCTTTAAAAGGAGACAGAGTACGAAATTTTCAGTTTCTTGTTGCACAAGTATCGTTTAGCTTGTACCTTTAAGAAGTGATTTGTAAGCATTCAACATTTATGTTTTTCTAATGCTCATCGGCTGTATAAAGGATAAAGTACTGTTCCGAATTGAGAGAACCGCAACGGTATGAATTATCTTTTGAGAGAACCTTGACGGTACGGGGGAGGTACGGATTATCTTTTGAGAAAACCTCGACGATACGAAGGAGGCTGAACAATTTTATTAATTAGAGAACAAAACTTACTTCTACCAACAAAGTGACTTTAGGGTGGGGAATTGGGTGTTTATAGTGAAGGTGGGTGGATGATTAGTGAGGATAGTTTGAGTAAATTGGGACCACCCTACTAAACAAACGCTTTTGCTAATAAGGGTTTATGTTATGTTCATAAGAAAAAAAAAGGGTTTATGTTAGCAGGGGTTTTATCATAAAACGGTAAAGTATTTAATAGTGTTTCGTCAAAGAATAAGTTGACATGTGCTTTTTTTAGAAAGTACTTTTATGTATCTATAAGTACTTTTAGAAAGTGTTTTTAAAATAAGTAAAAGCATTTTTCATAAAGGTGGTTTTTGAACTAATTTTTAGTAAAATATAAATGAATCTTGAAAAAAATATTCGAAGTATTTTTTGTAAGAAGCATATAATTAATACTTATTTGAAAATACGTGCTTTTGTGAACTAAAAGTGCTTTCAAATCATTTTGAAAGCATTTAAACTAGCCGTAATTTTTTTATTATTAAATGCAATCATAAAAGCACGTGATAGTAGATGTAACGTTAAGATTTTCATCTTTGCGTCCCTAATAATGGGATGGAGTCATATAAAATGTATTTTGTGTTTTGTCCGTGCTCTACCAGCTATACCAGCCTTTAAGAGCCGCTGCCTCTCATCGCCGCTACAAACTGTGAGAGTTTAAGCGATTCCAAGCCCCGCTCTTCGCCGCCCGCCATTATTGATGTCATCGCGCGAGAGATTGGAGCTGGCTCGGCCCGCGAAGGTAACTTAATCTCTACGTTTCTCTTTGTTCTTCGTATTCTGGTTGAATTTGTGCATGATCCGATCTTTACTTGGTTCAGAAAAACCAACAATCCAGTTGGATTTAATTCTCTAATTTTTTCTTTTGCACTTTGAAATCATTGTTCTTGTTAAGAATTCTGAAATTCCTGTCAGTCTGTAGCTCCAGTTTTACCTCTGATTTCAAGCTGTGCTTCTTTGAAATTGAAAATTTAGTTTGTGTTCTATACTTGATCTGCAGATTATATACCTATCTGGTTTAGTTGAATTTCAATTTGGGTTTTCGATTCCCAGATGTGTTCAAGCTCTTGCTGTCTCCTGTCACAGATTTTATTAGAAAATTAATGAATCAAGCTTAAACCTTTTTCTTTTATGTTTTGGTTTATGTGCTTGACCAGAGGAACCCAAAAGAGGGACTGCATTCAGGTGGACATCGAGAACGATGGACAAGGGTTAGGGTTTATTGAGCTGCAGAGATAATTAGTACAATACTTGAATGCCGTTGTATTTTCGTGCTTGATGTTAATTTCCTTGTTTGCACTAGCAATCTTATTAGCGATAGAAGCTTGAATGCTCGATCTAGATGTCTTACTGTGTTTGGTCCGATTATTTTTTTAGAACATATCGAAAACCTTAACTTTGTGGCGCGTAGGGGTGTTTGCAATTTGAAATCACGAATCGCATTTGATGGTTCTTTAGATTTGCCTATAAAGAAATTACAGAATTTTTTTCATTTCATATGCAGTGAAGCTAATCGATAGCAAGTAGCTACGAGTATGGTTCTTTGCAACAACTCCATTCAGGAAACTCACTATGAAATACTTTCCGTGAAACAAGATGCAAGCTATGAGATATCCGAGCAAGCTACCGATCTGCCATACTTGATAGTCATCCTGATAAATCACAAAGTACCTCTGGATCGGGAGATAGATTCCTGAAGGTGCAAAAGGCTTGGGAAATCCTTGGCGATTCAAGGTCTCGCACACTTTATGATAGTGCACTGCGAGCTTCTAGTCATGATGCTATGGTTGCAGAAGATATCAGCTTAAAAGATGTGATGGCTGAAGATGCGGGAGAGGCCATTCAGCTCTTTTACCAGTGCCGGTGTGGTGACTATTTCTTCGTTGATTCTTTGGAGTTGGAGAAGATGGGATATGGTTTGTTAAGAGATGGAAGGAAAATATCTTTCGAGGCACAAAACGCATTGCCAGCATCGCTTGTCATCCCCTGCGGGTCTTGTTCTTTGAAAGTTCGGATATTGATCAATTCAGATGATTTTATTACGATTGTTGATAACCATTGAATGGGAGACGAAGGCTTTCGTTTCAAGATTTTAGTTTCAACAGCTTAAAATGACGGGAGCCTTGTGCGTTTCATGTTGAAATTTCATAGAAAATGGGACAAGTTGGACGGTAGAAAATGGGACAAGCTGTACTTCGGTCCTGTAGTTTCGGTTGTCGCGATTTTTGTTTTGTAGTTTACTAGTTGGTTCAATATAAGGACGTCCTAATTTCGTGATTTTTTTTATAGAATTTGTAATTTTTTGTTTTTGATACACGGAATTTTCAATGGATAAGCATTTGCGCTGTTTATATATATTTTTAATCCGAAAATTTTGACGAAATGAGTTCTTATTCTTTAAATGGGTACGATTAACAAATTACATAACTTAAATCGCGACAATTGAAACTTGAAAATCGAAGTGGAATTTTTGGAACGGAATAGCGGGCCAACCCTTGTATGGGCCGTTGTATGAGTTTGGTTGCATCAGGAACCCATTGCTCTGTTATTTTATTTTATTTTTCTCAATAACAAAAAAATAAAAATAAAAATCACGTCTTGAAGAAACAAAATCAAAATTGGGTCTACGATTCTCAGCGATCCGATCAGTTGCTGATTTTCCAATCGATCCAATAAGGTTGAAATCCTAATTCTCTATTCGCAGGTACGATATTTTCCTCCTTTTTGGTAATTTTACAAAAAATTAGATAAATTAGGGCACTGTTCTTCCTGTGAAATGAAAGAAATTTGATTTTCATCAAAGATTGTGTTTTTGGGTATTTTAAACTAAAATTCCCAATTGGGTTTCTCATAAATCGGAAACAGGAGATGGGTTCTGCAGAAAAAAGCTCCCAGTGGCGGAGCGTGTTCGACGGCGTGAAGCTGAAGACCATCAAAGCAATGCCGGAAGCTCTAATGGCGGAGATCAACACAGCAATCTGCAATCTCGAGTACGCACGCGCCACCGCTCTTGTCGACTCTCCGTCTTCTTCGTCTTCGACGGGGAAAACGGAGATCCCTGATCAACCGGAATACAGTGCACGAATGGCAGGACCAAGCCTACAAGGCAGGCTGCGCAGCCTTGGCAGCTGGGAAACTCGACGAGGCCCTTCTCTCTCTGAACACTTCTCTCTCTATGTGCCCGCCTGATCAGACCTCTGCCGTGACCAAGCTCCACTCTTTGATCTCTCTCACATCTCGGCAGCTCCATAAGTCCACCAGCTGAGTTTATCTTGCCCTTTATAATTAATGCAAGCGATGGTGGGGAAGGAGGAATCGAACTCAGGATCTCGAGTGCAGCGGAGTTTATTATGACGTCAAAATTTGGGATCTTTGATTCCAACTTTCCATGCTCTGTTCATGCGGATTTGGAGGTCGTCAACAATAATTTGGAGCTATTTAATGATCAATCAATTGGGGAACAGGGGAGATGTAGACGTTAGTGTCCGGAGCAGATTTCACGAGGGTGGTTGGTGATGGAGATGATGCTTTAAAGCCTTACAGATAAAGATAAGGTTTGAGTACTTGTATAGTTGTATAGGTAGAGGATTTTCCTTTGTTCTTGCCTAAAGGTCTAAACACTTGGTTGATTGTTTGATCAGTTGAGATATGAATGATGTATTTAACCATGGTTAATCATTAGTACATAATTTCCTCTCTTCTTTTCTAAATTTTGGTTTGTTTTTTCTATTAATTTAGATATGATTGGTGTCGGCAAATCTGACTTATTACCGATTGTATACAACTGTATATTTAGTCGTCGAGAAAGACTTGTCTAATACTTTCAACCTAACAGTATACCAAAACAAGTGACACACATTGTTATGTGTTTATTTTTCCTACTTAGCAACTCGTTATTGGGTTGGGACCCGTCGCACAGGCATACGTGGTGTAGTTAAGTCTCAATCCATTTTCACATCTAGGGTTTTATATGAACGCAGTGTCAAGGGAGACTAGAGAAAATAAAATCAAAGATATTGCTCAAGAGATCTCAGACTCATGATCTTTCTTTGTTATGATGTTTACTAGAATTTAACGGCCAAGAAATTTCTAATTAGTTTACCTTTCTGTTGGCACACCACATTAATTTCAACTAGTTTCCATTGTCTTCAATGAAAATGAAATTGGGGAAAGATGCCAAATTTATGTGTTAACTTGTGTCAAGATTTTCTTTAGTTGAGACAACATTTTGAGGGCACTCTCACTTTAGAAAATTCAACAAATAGCTTCGTAAGCGTGGGTTAGGCCAGTTAGGCCCAGTGTGTCTGCTTTTAGCACTCAAGTTCGAGTTGCTCTTCTTATAATTTAAAGTAATTTAGAATACAGTCTTGTAAAAAAAAAACAAATATGTCAAGATTAGGTTTGGTATCATGTCCTAATTCCCATGACTTCAACTTAAAGCATGAACATGAAGACTACAGGAGCAGCACTAAATAAAGGAAAAAAAAAACCGAAGAAACGGATTGAAGTTACAGGTCTTCTTCAATGGGAATAATATTAATGGCCGTGAGATAAGCAAAAGCATTTTCAACCTCAAAGGGAGGAGTTTTAGCTTTTGTTAAAACGTCTAATATGCTTTTTTAGCTTTGTCTTTAACCCAAAGAATAGAAACCAATCTTCTCCATTTTCCAATAAGCTGAGAAGCCGCTGTCAAAAAAAGCAGGTGAAGGTCTAATCCGAACATCATGTCGAGTAAGAATGACACACACCCAAAGCACTAGTTTTGTAGGTATCTCAAAGCACCTCTGGCTTACAGCTTACAAACCCAAAGCACTTTTTTTTTTTTTTTCACTCCAACATGAGCATCTTTTATCACGAAGATGAACAATCACCAAATCCTTCCAAAAGATGCAAATTTCTTGCTGCTTGTCTCACCGATGCGTTTGCGAATTGCCATACCGGCAGAAAGCTTTCGGTTTCGAGCCGTGCGGAGGAGTGCTTGACAAGCGACTTTGATGAGGAACAGGAAGTAAGCTATGTACCCGAACAAAGATTTTCCATACAAAGTTTTCATGTTTTTATTAATCTATGAGTGTTTTACAGGTTGTTTTATCATTTTTTGTTACTTGTTTTTTTCTCTATCAGGTTATTGTGTCTGCGATTCGAAGCCGTGCTATGGAAAAGCTGAGGCGCAAGCCGCGCAGCTTCTCAGATAGCTTTTCTTTCGTCTACTCTTCAAAATCGGGTGATTTATTCATAACACAGAAAGGAGTGGAAAAGCAGGAGGATCATGAAGACGATGAGAAAGCAGATTTTTTATCGGTTGCAAGCTGCCTTTCTTGCTGCTCAAGCGACGCTGCAAGTAGAGACGTGTTTCTTTCTGTCAAGACAAGCTTGTCGCGCTGTTCGAGCCTTAATGGGATCGAGTTTAGAGATTTTCCAAGGCAGTCCATAATTCAGCAGTTCCGTCATTGTGATGGCTGGCCGTTTGGGCTTTGCCGGAAGGCTGTGTTGCTTCCACCGCTGCCAAAGTCGCCCTCTGAGTCGTGGTTGTGGAAAAAAGGCACTAAGTTTGTTAAGATGGTTTAAAGTCGGAGCTCCTCCACCCCCACCACCAACAAAGGAGGTTCAAAGTTCAAGTTATTCAAAGTTATTTCGTGTCTAGATGATTAAATGGATGGAATATAATTCAATTAGAATAAAGTTTTAGTTGAAATGGTAATGTTATACTTTATGATAAGTAAAGCTATCGTATATGCAAATGCATAACTGGACCGAAATGTCTCTATTTAAATGTGTTATAACGAATTAGTATACTTAAATGTTCTTACCTTGACATATTATAATGATTTAGTGTAACGAAACGTCTATACTTAAATATATTGGTAACACATAAGAAATTATGCAAAATACATAAGTGTACAAAAAATTTCATATCTAAAAATTTCTTATACAAGTGACTTACAATAAATTGTTGATACAAAATGTAAACAAATAAATGAAAATTATTGGACACTTAAATGAAAATACGTAAATTATTGATACAAGTTACTTACAATAAATTGTTAATACCCATGAAATTACAATTAAAAAAAAAAAAGACAAAAAAAATACAAAAAACTGCCATTGAATACATACCTTTAACAGAGTGCGTTTGGTCATTTTAATGTTTCTTATACCAGTTATTTACCATTTCTATTTCTTCTCTACAATCAGACGTTTTGACGGTTTTAAATTTGTCTAATTTCTTGTAAACGTAATCTATGATAAATTAAGATATAGATCATTTTGTTCCGCAGTTTGCAGCTTTAATGAGATTGAGTCTAGATGATTGAATATATTGAATAAAATGGACAGCTAGAATAAAGTTTATTTGTGAGAAACAAAACAACCTTAAACAGAAGAGAGAAAAAACAAAAACAATTAAAAAGTACAAGCCACACAGAAATCGAAAGAACCCCAGAAGCTAAACCCGGAGCACGAGACGAACACCCCTACACAAGAAACTAGAACTAGACGGCGAGTCTTTCAGATTCGAGCAGGGCGTTCAAGCGACGAGCACAGAAAGCTTGGAGACGACGATCGAGTAGACGAAACCTTTTAGCTTCGACCTTTGTGCTTCTTGTTATCGCTCAAGTCACGGCAAACAACATGGAAAACAGCATTAGCAATGTCACCGCGAGAACCCCCTTGTAAAAGCATGCGTCAACGTCATCCTTACCATGTTCAGATTTGAGGAGGAGAGCCTTTAATTCGTCGTAAGTAATTGGTTTTCCGCGAACCTTAGAAGTGACATTGTCAAAACGAGAGCCGACATTGTTGATGACGACTTCAATGACCTCGGTCTCAGGAACTGGAGAACCAGCTAACGTTAGCTTATGCGTAATAGTGTCGACGCGTTGAAGAAATTTAGTAATCGATGAGAAACCGCGAGTAGTGCGATGAAGACGACTACGGAGCTCTGAGATATATTTCTGATGCGAAGAGGCAAATCGTTTCTCCAAAGCTTGCCAAGTTTCGCGAGCGGTATGTTACCGGTGAGCGGTGTCACCAAGCGCATAATGGCTTATGGAGGCATTGATACAGGAGAGAACAAGCTGGTCCTTTTCAGCCAAATCTTTAAAATCAAGGTTGACACTGTCGGTTTTGTTTCCAGCATCGTCGGAGAGAAACTAAGGAGGGCAGGGAGAAGAACCATCCACAAAACACATGAGGTTATGACTCTTAAGCAAAGGAACAATTTGGGACAACCAAATAGGGTAATTACTGGAATCGAGCTTGACGGTGATGACGTGAGAGACGTTGGGAAGAACAGACCGGGCGACAGAAGCAGAGGTAGAAGAGTTGGCCATCGGACAAACAAAATAGTTCCGGTGAAAAGAGAGAAGGATCGAGGGACAACAATCACGAGGTTATGATTGCTTGAAAAACATATGGTAGAACTTAACTTGCCACGGAAGTATGCGGAGAAAGGCAACAATTAGACTGGAGGCGGTTTGTGTTACACTTGTAACACACATACAGAGATTAACGTCGTCTGAGATTATCACAGTACCAAGTGAAGTGATAAAATCGAGGACGACTAATTTAATACATTTGATCGGAGATGAATTCTAAATTGAAGTTGTTATGAATGACTATGAGATTGTAGATAATTCTAAATTTATCTTAAACCCTTTATTTTCAACTCGTGCATCGTTCACCATTCAAATGTGTATATAGTCTTGCAGTGGAAGAAAATCTAGGACGACTAATTCAATACATTTGATCGGAGATGTAACTCGAATTTGGGTAGTTTATTTCGGCCAACGTGGATTCCCATATCCAAAACCAGCTCGAACTAATTCGTGACTAGACCCTATATTTACTTGCTTTCACATGTGTCCAGTCCGAAACATAACGATGTCTGTTGAGTACACGATAACATTTTAGGGGACGTTTGTTGCGCCGGACTATCTCGGACTGGATTAGCTTCAAGGACTAAGCTAGACTGGCTTAGACTAGACTAAACTGGACTAACTTAGTGAAGCGTTTGGTGCAGTATTGGACTAAGAAGCTGGATAATAACAAATTCTAATATTATATTATTTAATATATAAATTATTAATATTTTATTATGATCTTATCTTTTTCTCCATCTTTTCCTACCATTTCCTTCCCACTCTTTTCCTGTTCTCTCATCGTCCCACCCTCTCCCTCTTTTTTTCCTCTTAGACCTCTCAATTCATGTCTCTTTCTCATTCCTTGTCAAACTCCTTATTGATTCAAGTCTCTATTTCTCTGTCCTCCCTCCCTCTCTAGCTATGCGTTGTTCGAACAGAACCTCACGGCTTCAATTTTCCCGACGAGTTGCAGGTTTCCCGATGTGTTTTCCGGCCAACCCTCATTAAATTGGATGAAGTTAGCACTGCCAAAAAATTCATCACCATCCCTAGACCGAGATCCTAGCTTTGAATGCTCGAATCTGTCATGGATTTGAAGAAGCCCAAACAGGCCAAGACTTCCAGGCCATTTTCCGGCCACATTCGACCACATTTTAGCCTCGATTCAGGTAAAATCGTAATCTTGTCACTCCCAGCTTCAATTTGGTATATTTTATATGAAAGTTGATTGTGAAATAGATCTGAAAGAGAGTCGGAAAGTTAATGATTGATCTAGGTGACCGGAGATGACGAGGAGTCTGTCGGGAGTGGTCGTTGAGCATGACGAGGACGAGAAAGAGAGGATAGCCTTAGCTAGTCCCATGGTTATTGGGGGGTCTCGCTAAGACCTCTTAGTGAAGGGTTTTGTCCATGCTAGTCCCCTTTAGTCTCATTAATGTTAGTCCCAGCATGGAACAAACACAGTATTGGACTAATAGCTAATCCAGTCCAATCCAGTCCAACTTAGTGAGGGCAAACAAACGCCCCCTTAGAGTACTATTGCAGTTCCATATTTAACCAAATAAATTGAACGTTCTTTTGTGTGGTCCGTGTCTATGAAACGAATGCGTAAAAAATGGACCGTCAATATGTCATTAATAATGTGACACCATGATTTCCGATAAAACGTAATGACGTGTTATCGTTGCATATTGTTGGCAATTGTTCCATCAACAATATTATCAACTCAACAGAAGCAAATGAAACAAATCAAACGGAAATTACTTGACGAAACAAACTTACAACGTTATACACCATCGCAAATGAAAGAACAGGATGCAACAGTATTCCATTAATAGATCAAGAAAGATATTCTCTTTATTAACTGTCATCAGAAGCTGAACATCTGGCCTGTTTCCAAATATCCAACAAACGCGATTCCAAAAACCGGAAAGCTTCCAACTACGGTAACATTCTCTGAAATTCTGGGATTAAGCTCTTTGCTCAATATATGATCCGGAAAGTCCAGAAGTTCCCAGAACAGAGATCTGCAAACAGAATACAAAATCATATGAGCAAGTCTACAAATAGATTCGCATTGATTTGTACACTACAAGTGGATGTGCCAAACCGGAGTCCCTGCACTGCGGGATAATAACAAACCATGTACCACAAATGCCGAAATGAAAAGCTTGATGCCTAAGCATTGTTTATATTGAAAGACCCCTTTCCAGTTCCCACGGGAAGAGCGATAGAAAATAAGGGGCCGAGTATCATTACCAGACCTAAAATATATATCCTCAAACATGTCAATTTTGATCTTCTATTCTCCTAAGTGAGCTAAATGAGTACGATAATTTTGCTTCAATGCTGCTCATATGGATAAGAAAAGTACCAAATAACTGCACCTATGATTTGATATGGCTTTCTCAAAAGGTAATAATCATGAATTATAAAAGTTATTGACCGAAAATCTTATCTAGCTATAACTTTAATCATCTTTATATTAATACCTTTCCCCACTCAGAACCGAAGCCACTGCATCTCATCTTCAAGTATATCAGCTTAGTTCCCAACTCTGTCTCAACCTTCTTCCTCAAATAGGTCTCCTCAGGCCCGAATGCATCCAAATAGGTAATGTAGCGACTGAAAATGGTCTTCAGTGCATTCACATACTCATCTGACAATGGCTTGACATTCTACAGACAATACGAAAACACAAAAATCAAAAGAATTGCATAGACAGACGACAGTGAAACCACAAAGTCCCTAATGATTATAATACCTCTCCGCTCATACCAACACTGTCATCAAGTTCCATCTTCAAATTAGTAATCATCCCGCCAAACTCCTCAACAGCCTCCGCTGCCCGGAAAACATTTGTGACAACCTCTTTGCCAGTCTGGTCATCAGTATTCTGAGACAACGCCGCCTTCGCTTCATGGACGACACTATTGGGCAATTCATCCCAACTTGCAGCCAGCAAATCCTTGAAAACATTGAGCAGCGCAGGGTCTTTAATGGCAGGCAAGTGACTCACATCATCACTATAAAATTTCCTACTTCCCAACCCCCTCGAAAACGGGGACTTGTAATCATCTGCGAATTTGCAACATACCCACATGGAATTTCAGCAGAAAATAAAAAAATTTACAAAACCCAGATCATTTTGCATCACACGAATCTCAAATACGCAGTTTTTATGCAGAAAATCAGATTGCAACAATAACCCAATTCAAATTTGCTTCATATCTTTAAAAAAATTTCATTGAAACAAGAAATTGAAGTCGAATAAAGAAGGGGAAGGTACCGGAAGAGAGGTCCTTGGCGACGGGGGATGAGGCATTGAAGAGGGTTCGCGCAGCAGCGGCGGAAGAGTGGAGAAGCTGAGAGTGGCGTAGTAGTTGCTGGTTAGCGGCGGCTACTCGATAAGATCTGGAAGAGACTGAGCGGTAGAGCGATCTCAAAGCTATCATCTTCGCCATTATTACGGACGTTTACCAGAAAATCAATGGGCAGGGAAAACTGGGAAAGGAGAGACGGGTCGCAGAACGGCAAGTGGATTTGTTGACACGTTTGGACAACAACAGTTAGCGTCCCAGGTGGAAATTACTTTTGGGCTTTTATGTTGGGTTTCGGCCTATAGTGTTGGGCTGGATACCTGAATTTGTGAGAGCGCATATTTTTTCTTACGATCGCATTGATCGCAGTTAAATAATATTTCTCGAAATTTAAACTCATTAAAACGAAATTTGTTCAGTGGTGATGCTCACCACCACTTGCGCATGGTGAGCCAAAATATTAACGACTTTGGGGTGAGCAGTGGGTCGAGCAAGACTGCTTTAGTCCATCCATATTTATTTTGCTAGATGGCTCCTTTAGGGTTCAGCTCGTTCGTGCAACCTCCCGTGGTCCAACTCCGAGTTTAGTTTGTTGAAGCATGTAAAAATCCAACATAAGAAACACAAAATAAAATACGATGTAAATTTGTTGTTCAACTATTTATAGTATTAGGGTTGGTTTTACGATCCACAAACATTTTTAACGTTATTGATTTGTTATAAAATGCTTTATCCCTTCTAGAATCACTTCCCAACATTGATATAAGATTAATTAAAGAAATGTTGACATGCTGATTTTAAGTGTATGATGGCAAAGTGAGGAGAAAAATAATGTGAATGCAACAATCTTCAAATTTCAAACTGTGAAGTCAAAATTGTCGGACATTTAATGTCCTCATTGCCCACGCAAACACACATTTTCACGCTTTTTTTCAACGCAGGTAGCTGAAATCTTGTGTTTGTATTTCTATCCACGTCTCGAATTCGTAATTTCCACTTTTTAACATTATTATAATAGTTTATAATATTTTACACTTTCCTTAATAATAAAAGATTTTATAAAAGAGAGCATTTTTGCTCATTACTATTTAGTGTGGTGTATGCTCATCATCTTATTTATCACCGTTAAATGAGTTTGAATTTCGAGATTCGCGTAATAGATAAGCACAAATCTCAAAATTCAAACTTATCTAACTGTAATAAATAAGGTGATGAACATACATCACACTAAATGATGTTAAATAAAAATGCACTCTTTATAAAAAAAGATAGCTGAAATCTTGAAGCCTGTAGATCAAATTATTAGACCTTGCTTTGTCCCATTTTCATGTTCCGGAAAGAAACACGTCTTTCGTTATTTAGCTTTTTCTTTTGTTTATTTAATTTCGAAATTTGACCACTTTTAGAAAACTAATTGATGTCCAATCAAGAATGTTGTTGGTGGTTGCTTCTTATATTTTTGGTTAAGCTGGCTGCTTCGCATATGGAATTGGCTGGAGTTTTGTTTGTAATTCTTTTTTTCTTAATATTTTGTTTTAATTTTATAATTCTTTTACACACAGAAACGTATTTCTTTTTGTCTGATTTTTACAAATTGCTGGTAAGTTACTACCCACAAAAACGTCTATATACATATTACATATACACTTTAGCTTAAAGAGTAGATAACGTTTTTAATGCAAAACTTAAACGTGTGACATTGTGACATAGTTAGCACATGGTAGGGCTTAATCCAATTCTCTCACCTTTTAAAATAGAACGTCGTGGTCATTTTGTATTATGGTCTAATGATATTCACCTTCATTTGTAAGTAAGAGATCTTAGGTTTAATTCTCGTCAAAAGTGAATTCAAACTACATTATTATGGGTAGTTCAATGTAAAGTTTAGTTTACTTTCTACCCCTTTAATATAGATAATATTTGTTTGTTAAAAAAAAAAAAAAAAAAAAACTTTGTGGGGCTTAAAAAGTGTGGTTCCCTAATAATTTTTTAATAAAAGAAGTTTAAAAATTTGATTATTGCAGTAATGTTTTATATTTTATAATAAGAGTAGCTTGTCTCAAAATCATTTATGCTTATAAACACTTATGCAGTTATGCTAGAAATGTTTTAATTTGCAAGTAGCATTTTAACACAGTGATAAAAAAATGTTGTACCATTGCATATGATATGAATTTAAACTCTATCAATGACTAATTTAATATCTATTTTACTAACGTTATCCCGCTCGATTAAAAAAGAAGTGCTTTAATTTGAATTGCACTTAAATTTTATTCAAAAATTAAAGTGCTTGCTTTTTAAACAACATGTCAAAATGCATTTATGAAGAGGACAAAGATTGTCTGCCTTCTCATTTCCAGTGTCTTCCCGTGTCCTCCTGTTTGTGTGGTCATGATTAAGCCACGTTAACATTTTATATTATTATTCATTTTGTCTTATTATCTGTATAAAAAAAAAATTATAAAATGTTGACATGCCTTAATCGTGACCATACAAAACAGGAGAGCATGAAAATGCACCGAAAGTGAGAGGGCAGACAATCCTTGTCCTTATCAAGAAACACATGACAGACATTTGATGCAGTGATTCCCCAAAATCATTTCTACTACCAAGAAGGCAAGAAGGAGAAGCATTGAAGATTTTCTACCAAGGTAGTTATAAACGCTTTTATTTTCTACCCGCTGCTTGTGTGAAAGTTAAATTTGTGGTTAAATAAGGCTGAAATGACTATATGAGTCTTTTTAACTCCTAAAAAGGATAGATAACCGTAACTCGCACCCGTTTAAAAAACAAAAAAATTAAACTAAACCGCACATAATACTGTCTTATTCATCTAACCTAATCTAGCTTCTTCCTTTAAAATGCTATATTTATGTACAATTCCATTCCCTCACCTCATCGCATCCCCCTCCATAAGATAAAATGCGTGTCATCACATAAAATCCTTCACAATCTCCTGTCACTATTATTCAAGTCATACTCCAAAGTCCAAAGCCTCTCTCTCTCCTCCTCCTCGTCCTCCTCCTCCTCCTCCTCACCCTCCTTCTCTCCTTATTTCTCTTTCGTACAAATGGCTGCAATCACCTCACCAGAAGTGTTACTCGAAGTCTTTCCATACCTCCGAGTCCTCAAAGACGGCACAATCGACAGAGTCGCCGGAACCCAAGTCGCTCCTCCAGGCTTAGACCCCGAAACTGGAGTTTTATCCAAAGACATCGTCATCTTACCCCAAACCGGCGTCTCAGCCCGACTCTACCGACCCAACACCGCCAAACCTGGCACAAAACTCCCCCTGGTCGTATACCTCCACGGTGGCGCCTTCTGCATATCCTCAGCCGCCGACCCGTGTTACCACACCAGCCTCAACAACCTTGTTGCAGAAGCCAACGCCATCGCAGTTTCAGTAAATTACAGATTAGCCCCTGAGTACCCGCTCCCCACCGCCTATGAAGACTGCTGGGCCACCCTCAACTGGGTTTTTAACGGCGGCGAAGATCGTGATTCGTGGGTCAAGGACCACGTCGATTTCGGGCGCGTGTTTTTGGTCGGAGACAGCGCAGGAGCCAACATTGCACACCACTTGGCCTTACGGATCAAGGACTCCGACCCGGATCCAAAGTTGAAAATTGCCGGGATTGGTATGGTTAATCCTTACTTTTGGGGGAAGAAGCCAATTGGCGGGGAAGTGGGGGATTTGGTGAGGAAGTCAATGGTGGACACGTGGTGGAATTTCGTTTGTCCGTCGGAGAAAGGCAGCGATGACCCGCTTATCAACCCGTTTCTGGACGGAGCGCCGGGGTTGGAGGGGTTGGCTTGTGGGAAAGTGCTTGTTATGGTGGCAGAAAAAGATATATTGAGGGATAGAGGGAGGCTTTACTATGAGGAATTGGTGAAGAGCAAATGGGGAGGGAGGAAGGAGTTGATTGAAACACAAGGGGAGGATCATGATTTTCATATCTTTAATCCCAATTGCGACAAGGCTAAGATCTTGATTAGGGATTTGGGTAAGTTCGTTAATCAAGATTAGTGGAGGTTGAATGGATTGGAAGCATTTGTTTTAGTTTGTGGGAAGTCTTGTTACGTGGGAAAATGACAAAGTGAAGGCCATTTTCAATAGTGGGATTCCTTTGTCAATGTTTGTCATTCATTGTTATTGTTGCTGCAGTTGTCTTTGTTTTTTTTGTAAGGTGATTTGCCTTGTTGACAGATGTGAAGGCCATTTTCAATAGTGGGATCGTCTCTGGATCCTTTCATTAAATTCATCTAATCAATTCAGATCTTTAAAATTTGATCAAATGGTTAAAAACAGGAATTCACTTTAAAAATTATAATAACTTTAACCGTTGGATCAAAATTTAAGGGTTCAAATTGATGAATTTAATGAATTTGATGAAAGGAATCCGAAGTAGATCCATTTGCAATGAAATAAATAAAAGCTACTTTCAATAGGATTGTACTTTTGTCAATGTTTGTCATTCATTGTTGTTGTTGCAGTTGTCTTTGTTTCATTTGTAAGGTGATTCGCCTTGTTGATAAATGCCGAAAGGGGTCATCTCTGGATCCCTTTAATCAAATCCACTTAATTAACCAATATGGGTCTTTAAATTTGATTCAACGGTTAAAAATAAGGGTTCATTTTAAAAATTATAATAACTTTAGTCGTTGGATTAAATTTTAAAGGTCCGAATTGATGAATTTGATGGATTTGATGAAAAAGATCCCTTTCGGATAGATGCAATGAAATAAATAAAAGCTACTTGCAACAGGATTGTACTTCTCGTTCAAAAAAAAAAAAAGAAAAAAGAAAAAAAGGATTGTACTAGTGTGATCTATTAACGGGGTTGGGAGCAACATAATAATTGGAAAGGGAGAAACGAACGCGGAATCTCATAGAATGAGGAGAAAAGAACTCGGAATCTCATCGAAAGAGAAATAGGAGATCAAACAAAGAATTTTTAAGTAGGGTTATTATACAAAATAGTCCATCAGATTTGCATGATCAATAGAAATGGTTAATGAGATTGAAAATCTATAGAAATGGTCCATGAGATTGTCCACTATTCATGATTTTTGTCATTCCGTTAAAAACTCTTTGAGCAATTTTCAAAACTTCGTAAATCAATCGATTTTTAACCAAATTCGACTCATAATATATCAAAATGTA